AGCGACACCTGTGAGACGCACCGGTCTTGTATCTCTCACAGAGGAGCGAGAATTTTCTTAGCAATGTTAAAACGCACATCAACCGATCACTTGTTTAGCGTTCATGTAAACACTACATTCAGATTCACCAATCGGAATGAATTCAGTTAGATTGCAAAAAAAGGTGTGCATGTAAACAATGTATGGCGACTGCAGAAAGCAAAAGCTGAATCCCGGACATCGACGGCCGGACATGTCCGGGAAAAAGAGGATGGTAACCCCTATTACTCAGCTTTCTCCACAGAACAAGAACCTGCTAGCTTAGCTTCCAAAAAAAGATGGCTGACAGTATGTGTTCATTCTGTGAGTGAGATCCCACCCTCTATGGGCGGGATGAAAACATGCAGAACAGCCCCTACTACTGACTGTAGTCTTTAGCCTCTGGCCAACAAATCCTCCGATGATGCAAAATGACGATTTTTTTCTTCAAAAAACATTAAACCAGCATTTTTTTTTCTTTATCGTGGACACTCTTTTTTCGATTTGTAATTACATTGCATGTTTAACATTTTTCCATCCAAAGTTGTACATTTAACCTATGCGCAAAATTGGAATTTCGCATTAAAACATTTGCAAATAAAGCAAATGCAGTTTCCATCCAGTGAGCCGAAGAGAACAAAATCGTCCCTTCCTGATAAACTGCCGCTAAATATCACTAAGAAAAATGGAAGTTTCTGCACTAGGAGATGCCACTGTATATAATAATTTCGCAATGATGTTATCTTGCGTTCGGAGGTGGATGCTGCTGTTTGGGAACACAGTCGTCTAAGACTTTAAAGGCGTGGTAAAACACGATTTCACTTTTCTAACTTTAGTTAGTGTGTATTGTTACTTTTTGAGCATAAACAACATCTGCAAAGTTACAACGCTCAAAGTTCAAAGCAAAGAGAGATATTTGCTTTTAAAGAAATCAATTTCTAAGGACTACACGACATTCCTACAGGGTTGCTGACATCACTAACCCCAATATTTACATAAACCCCTCCTCCGAGAATACTAAATAAGGGGGGGCGAGGCCATTTTTGCTTTGGAGAAGAGTTGTGGTGGTATAGTAGGCTGGAGTGTTGTTGCCGCAATGCCGCAAGGCTGTTATTTTCATCCGGATTGCAGGTCCACTTTGTTCAGCCTTCCTAGGGACGGGGGAGTTAGGGATCAATGGTTAATTTATTTTTAACTCGGTCCCTCATAATTATTACCCAAATCTCGCTCTCTGTGCTGCACATTTTACGGAGGAAAGCTTCAACAATCTTCGCGAGTTCAATGCAGGATTCGCACAACGGCTTGTATATAAACAGTATATATAAAAAGCAAAAGTAGTTACGAGCATGCAACATCGTAGTTACGTTGTCAAATAGCAGGTCATGAAATTACCAAAAAGTACCAATAAATTGTGTAACTGGTACGTAGTGCGTTAGCTGGGAAGGATTTACATGCAGGTGTTCATTCTATTCATTAGGATCAGTTCATGTTTATTAACAGTTCATGTTAGTATTGTGTAGTCCCCTTAGAAACTGTAGTTTCCATAACCTTAACCCAAAATGCCACTTTATTTTCAGTGTGTGCCATTTTCTGTATTTTTAATGACTGGGGTTGCTCATATGCTCATACCATCTTACTGTTTGTTCATCAGTGTTAGTTTTATAATGTATGTGTATGTTAAGTAAAGTGGGACGGTGCTAGTGTGTCTCAACCATTTTTGAGAAATAAATTTGCTTGGTTCAAATGCCTAAAAATTTGGGTCGAGGCTCAATGACGATGGGTAAATTTGGGTCCCATGGCCAAACACCACTGACATTTCACATAGATAAGCCCTCGGTAACAAAGTTACCTTCATGATCAACACGCTCCATGATGATGGTCCCCAGGGTGATGCATATTGAATGGCTGTTCGTGACCGATTCAGCATGGCGTCTTTGCTAAACACGAAGACGGAGTGCGTGTGGAGCTGTTGAGTGTGTTTGATTACGGAGCGACGGAGATCACAGGCAAAAACACATTGGTATAAACTGCATCATAGATATTCAGAGTCAGAGAAGGGTCAGTGCGCTCTATAGAGAGGCACTACAGGCAGAGCTAATAGGGAGGGGATGGAATATGCACAGTATGTGAGTGTGCGTAATAAATATTTAATGGAAGAGTAGTGTGATGCCCAGTTGCAGCCCAAGGCTCTGCTACACGCCACTTACAGTGAGCACAACCCTTTCATCATCCATGCACACGGAATCGCGCGCACACACACACTCGCGCACGGCTCTTCCAGCTGCAGTCTGACCTGAAAACCTGTCTGCATGCTGCTCTGGCTGTCTTTCTGAATTAAGAGCACTCTCACTCTCGATTGAGCACACAATATTCTCTGGCTAGCTCGGTTACTCTCATCTTCTCGGTGTGTGTTATGCACTTCTTACCCTCCCCCAACCTTCTCCCATCATCACCTCCTGGCCTTTTTTCTCCTCCTCTCCCTCTAATTCCCTATCCCTTCCTCTCTCTCTCCCTCCCTCTCTGATGTCTTGTTTCCTGAGCTCAGCTCTCTCTGAATCAGCAGAGGTTCTCAAACAGGTCAGCACAGCGAGGCATTACAATTACTGCCTACATCAGCCTCACACATGGATTTATTACCGTACTCGCACGACGCTAATGTTGGGGAATTGGCGGAATTGAATTAACCCCCGTTTCTTTCATGGCTTTCCAGAAGATGTGCCGTTAATGTTTGCGGGGTGTAATTAGCAAGGTAGCGTCGGGAAGTCACACCGGCTTCTGGCTGTTGCCTCGGCTCCAATCGTGTCGCTGTCAGTCTAGACCTGCTTTAGAGAGAGTGATCAACTGCACAGCCTGGTGGCAGTGCTGCTGGGAAGAAAAAGAGAGAGGGAGAGAGCGAGCGAGGGAGTAACAGTGCTGGAGGGCCAGCTCTCTCTCTCTCTGATTACTGAGCTTATTACTGCAAGGAACTAGACTTGCTTATAAGCTTTGTATCCTAGAATAGAGGTGCATTTTTCTTTCTCTCCCGGGCTTCTTTTCTCTCTAGTTGTGTCCCAAATTACACACTATACTATGAACTTAGACTTATACACTACACGGTTGAGTACATAGTGCATAAGTACATAGTGTAAGAATTTTATACAGTTACAGTTTTAGACCGTTTCAGTGTGAACACAATATTAAAATTGTTTTGTCAACCTTTGTTATACAAATAATTGCATACAGTGGTCGTAAATGTATTTGGACACTTTGTTCTGAATTGTTGTTCTGAATACCGACTGAATGTTGCATTAGATACAAAATATCAAAGTAGCATCTACAAACAAATTACTCGAGAGTTTTACACCGTAACCACAGTTCATCAAATTAACTATGAAAAATGTCCCTAAAGTTTGATCCATAAAGTGTCCAAATAACTTGTTAATTTTGAACAATAATGTCTAAACTTCATAAGCTTCTAATCTGTGATATTTTGCTTAAAATGCCATGCCCCGTTTCTGTAAAATACATGCTTCTTGGTTTGATATTTTGTAATATAATGCAGAGATTTTCAGGTTTGGATTAGGTGTCTAAATACATTCTGCCACTGTATATCACTATATATCAAAAATGCAAAAGTTTAAATAGTGTATTACATTTTTTTTTTTTTTTACTATTTCATAATCAAATTAATTTTACTCATGAGGGTATATACAAGACTGTGTGCATGTGGTCTGAAACAGACACACACGTATGCATACACAAATTTGTGTGTGTGTGTCCAGACGTCTTTACTAATACTAAAGGCCAATTCATACTGCACCAAAAGACTCAGACAAAATGGCGACAGTCACCAGATTATAGCACGTCACTTATCAGACAATTCTACTTACGATTCAGCATGTTCAATATGCAAAAACAAGCTCCGACAGACACCAACATACTCTGACAGGGGTAGCACACTGATCCGACAAAACTCAAAGTGTCTTTTGTCGACTTCGGTGTGAGCTGGCCAAAAAAACAGATATCAGCCATTGTGTAAAGCCAGTCATTTTGACCAACACCATTTTTGCATGCAATTTACATCAGACAGTCAATGTGAAGTTTAGAAGGTTGCTGATGCATCAAAAACACAAGGCGTTTTTAATGAAAGTGAAACAGTCAGCAGCTGTTGATCATTACAGGCCATCAGTTCTGAAACACAAATTTGAAATCGACCTTGAAAGTTCAATGGAATGAGATGAACTCCAGGAAGAACTACTTCAAGCATCTGAGAATCTAAATTTAACCAAAAAGTGATGAGACAAAAGAAAAAAAGAGAATAAACCCCTCAAATGCTGCCTAAGCAGGTTGGAGAAGAGTGCTAAAATTGGGCACATTCACTAGAGGGCAAAACTTTTGCCAAACGTTGGCAGCTGACCAGCCAGAAAACAACAGTAGCTGAAGAAGCGCCAGAACAGCTAGAGAAACTTTCACTCCCAACTTTTTCCTTCCGAATGATACTTTATTTCAATGCTGCAGACCAGGGGTTGTCGGCAACACAAGCTGCAACTCCTAAACTGTCTTCTTAATGGCAGATCTTCCCCTGCTAATAAAGGAATAATGAGGGAGTCTGTATGGTGCTCAGTCCCCTGTGGAAGAGAAGCTCTCAGCACTCACAATAAACACAGTCTGTTCAGACTGGAGATGATCAGTTTGATGTCTGTCTCCATGCAGATGGTTCCATTCTCAAACAATGCAGGCCAGCGTGGTTAATTGCTACTGAGACGACTGGAGGTGCGGTTACGTGAGCATTTCTGCTGCAGGTGAGTGAGTGTTTTTGTGTGACAGGACTGACTGACGAACAAGCGTCAAGCGCCCTTGACTCGCGGCATGCGAATAATGCCTATAAGGGCTGGGGGAGGTTGGTTATCAGACAGATCCCCCCGCCCCCATGCGCACATATTCACGCACACACTAGTGCGCACACTTACACACAATCTGTGAGGACAGTGTAGCAGTCTTACCCCTTCCCGAAGGCACCTCATTAACACGGTGTAGGCGGCAGCAGGAACGACCCACAATCCTCCTGGGCGCTCTTTCTTCTCTTCCTGCAGGGGAAGGAAAGAGAGTATGTGTGTGTGTGAGCACGAGAGAGAGACAACTATTACAGAGACTCATTGGGGGAACAATTAAAAGCAGTAAAATGCAGCCACCATCATAATGAGGCTAAATAAATAAAGTCCTGCGACGGTAAATAAGACGCCAGGCTCAGGCAGGTACAGGAAACACAGCTCAAGTGAGAAGCAATGATCGTGTCAATTAGAGGGAGAAGCGGAGAAAGCTGCGAAGCAACATCCCGCTCTCATTTAACTTCTAATGCTTGCGTTCAGCACAGCGCTGAGACTGATCGTCAACATCAACAGCAGCTCGTGAGCAAGACCTTCGTACAAGTCAAGGCCTGATTTGGATTTCTGTTTATATGTAGCTGCATTATGCTGTGTGCTGTAGGCTGTTACAAATTTGAAAGGAAAAAATGATTACATTTTATATACGGTAGAAAATTGACAAAATGAAAACCCTCTAAACTATCCTCTCTCAAATTAAAATCCAAGAGTGTAAACAGCTTTATAATTCAAAACAAATAACTTTCACATAAATGAACTGAAGGTTATTAAAATGTACAATTAAGTAAACCGTAAGTGAGTTAATTTAGTTTTGTTTCTTCAAACCTTAATAATTTATTTATTTATTTATTTGTTTATTTATTTCGAGCAATATATAATTACACATGACAAGGCAATAAGAAGCATTTTGATTAATCTATACAAGCCTTTAAATTCATCATACTTTCATCAAACTTTAACAAATAATTCCATCTATTGCTCGAAACGGAGTGGGTAGAAGTCAAACTTGATCTGCAAATGTCAATATTTTCTTTTTCTTTTAAAGATTTTTAAATCATTTTGCATTATAAAAAGCATACATGAGCTCAAGGCTGCATTTACAGTACCAGATATTTTGCCGCAGTTTGTGCAATAAAACATTTTACAGTCAATTTAACACTTCTGTAGTCAATAAGATTTACACCCTTTACATTTGGAAGGATCTAATACAATAAACTGATAGCCATTAGTGAGTACATCAATGGTCTTGTTCTTACAGAGAACTTTTCAAACTTTTTCCAGGGCCATTAAAATTGATTGCCATGGGATAGCAGCAGAAAAGGGGGAAAACTCTACCCCCCAGTGGCTAATACAATAAACTTTTATTTTTTTTTCCCCATTAAAAATAGCACCGATTCACTGGCCTCTTTATGTACACTGCAGGTTACTGAAGAGAAGATTAACTTCTAATAAATAATATATATGTTTTATTATTATTATTATATATTTTCAGTTTTATAAAAATTATTATTATATAAACCAAACCTAAGAATGTATAAATTTCAAAGACAATAAAATATCCAAGGGCCATAACCACCATTTGAAATTCTTGATGCTACTCTGCTGCAATCCATTATGCACCAATTTGTTTGTTATCAGGATGACAAAATGTTTTAAAGTTGCATTTTTAAGCTGGTCTGCCTAAGAGGTCTAAGATGTCAAGATGCTTGACGGAATCCGAACATTACAGCACAAAGCTTCAGTTTTAACGGTGAAAGATTGCAAAGAAAGTAGCTAAACATGCAATATTACAGTTTGACAACTGAAATGTTAAATGACCGGCAGTAATGTCAATTAATCCAAAATACTAGACGTTTTTGTATGATTTCGCCATTTTGAATTGAATATCATTGCCGTCATCCATGTAATTCATAACTGAATGTGATAAGCAAATAAACATTAAATGGAACGTTCTTAATTAGGGCTGGGCAGTATGCCGATATATATCGTGGCGACAATATAAAGGGATTTTGCTATACCATTTATAATCCTGCATGCAAATACACCCGCATAGCACAGTACTACTTAAAGTTAACATTTTGGAGTGATAAAGAAAAATGCATGAAATATATAATAAAGAGAGGGATGTGCATGATGTTAAAAAGAATGACAAAGCCCAATAAGCCATGAAAAAAGCCGCCACTCTTTCAGTTCTCTTTTGCAGCTTATTGCATTTGAAATGGTGAAATACATAATTATGTATTATCAAATATATGTATACACAAATATATTATCATGTGGAGTATTCACATAAAAAGTCTGTATGTCTTAAGTGAACGTTAACAGTTGTGTAAAAACAGGACGCATTTCAGTACATTAGATCTGTCCATTCAGTCTTAAAGTGACAGCAGCCTAATAAACCTGCTGCCGTCTGTGTCATTAATGTTAATCAAACAAAAGACTAAGAAAAAAAATCACTCAATGCTCTTAACTTTTGTAAATTTAATAAGAATCAATTTATATTTCAATCATACAGTGAAGACCATGCAGTATTTTTTTAAACATTTTATTATTCATTTTCTGTTCTTTGTATCTTTGTTCTATTGTATTAGTCGTATTGTTTGTAATTTGCTTTGTTCTCATTTTAAAAACAAAAAAATAAAAAACTATTTTGTGATGTATATTATCGTGAAATAAAATGTATAGTTATCGTGAAATAAAATGTATCATATGGTAAAACAAAATTGTCCCACCCTTACTCCTGATTTAATTTCAAACAAGTATTGTTTTGATCCAAAGCATATTTCAAGCATTACATTAATCAAAATTTTGGCTGGTATAGGGTGAAGTCCACAAATAAATTACAGCACTTGCTCATTTGTGCTTGTGAATGGAGTAAGAAGTTACAGATGCAAAATACATCAATAAAATCTCAGAAGAGCGAACTTACATTTATGCTGAGAAATAGCCAAACAATGCTCGATTGACTATTTTCAATGTCGACGAAGAGCCATACGTGCTCAAAACGTTACATGTGTGAGTCCACCATTACATTTTTGGAGCCTTGGTGTGCCAGTCTTTTTCTGTTTTCTATTTTAAATGTTTACAAAATATAGATTGTATTTCTAATTTGTCGATAAATTGTTTGCCCGTCCACCTTAGGGCCAGTTGGTCAACATGCAATTTTGCAAATTACAAAAATGGCTTAGAAAAACAAGTTCTAAGAAAGAATCTAAAATCATGTTTTATTGTGGTGTGTTTGTTTTTGACTATTATTTATGACTACACAGCAAAATGTTTGAAACTGAGGGTTTCTGACTCTCTTGACAAATTTAAAGACCAAATACATTACAATTGTGTTTTACTGAAGAACACTGAAATAGTGAGTGCGTGTATGCTTTCATGGCTTATCTAGTATCACTCCCATTCATTATGTCATAGAGAACACAGCCATAGTTTTTCACCTGGACTGCTATTGGAATTCAAGGCGTCAACACACCAATTGCTCACATTACACTAGAACTGAGGAGTAGAGAAAAGTCATTAGATAAAGCCAATCAAGGCCACAGTGTCCCTCACCCTCCCCCTGGGCTCAGAGCTAATATGATCAATAAAAGCTGCGTGTGCTGTTGTACTGCATGACCCTGAAAAACACAACCGTACAGGAGATACACACCTAAATAAGCCCAACAAAGCATGTTATCAGCTAACCTCGAGTCCCTTACAGCGATCAATACAGCGATCAGATTAGGATGACCAGATGTCTACAACACAGGACACATTTTGGGAAAACAGGCCATCTCATCACACTAGCTGTAATGAGGTAAAATGATGCTGTGATGAGCCGTTTATGGACTCCAGAGGCTGTGCTTCATTACACCTTTAGACCTCATTCACAGGCTGCTGGAAATGTGTGATGCTAAAAATCCCCCAACACTGACTTTCATCAAAGCATTGTGCTATAGCTGGCAAATGCAGTGTTACCATGGCAAATACTAGAGGTAACATGGGTAAATGCGAATAAAAAGTGATCAATTTTCAGCAGTGATCTTTACAGTACTAAAATTATGTTAAAGGTTACGCATGATGCACCAGACTGCATGGGTTATGAGGTGGTTCCCATGTTGAGGTTAATGAGGTCTGAGAGGTTGTGTGAAACTCTCCTCATAAGGGAGCTTTTTAAATGTCATGGAATACTCAGAGGGCAAATACTGCCTGTAAGACATTTATGAGAAGCAAACTGAGCTATATGAAATTTCAGGCCATTGAGCATAAGGATCCGTTCTTGGGATTGCAATCGAGTGGCTAGTCCCCCTATAAAGTCAAAGTGGAAGTTGTGCACTTATCAATAATTACTTCAATATAATAGACAGTCTACCTCTTACCTCTCTAATTGAACCCATGTGAATATTGATATGATATGTGAATTATAGATGATTCTTTAATTAGAGGAACTTTTTTGTCAAGGATAACTTTTTTTAAATATATATCATATAGTAGTATCACATATACGCTATTATTAGAAACACCATACTAATACTGTGTTTGACCCCCTTTCGCCTTCAGAACTGCCTTAATTCTACGTGGCATTGATTCAACAAGGTGCTGAAAGCATTCTTTAGAAATGTTGGCCCATATTGATTGGATAGCATCTTGCAGTTGATGGAGATTTGTGGGATGCACATCCAGGGCACGAAGCTCCCGTTCCACCACATCCCAAAGATGCTCTATTGGGTTGAGATCTGGTGACTGTGGGGGCCATTTTAGTACAGTGAACTCATTGTCATGTTCAAGAAACCAATTTGAAATGATTCGAGCTTTGTGACATGGTGCATTATCCTGCTGGAAGTAGCCATCAGAGGATGGGTACATGGTGGCCATAAAGGGATGGACATGGTCAGAAACAATGCTCAGGTAGGCCGTGGCAGTTAAAAGATGCCCAATTGGCACTAAGGGGCCTAAAGTGTGCCAAGAAAACATCCCCCACACCATTACACCACCACCACCAGCCTGCACAGTGGTAACAAGGCATGATGGATCCATGTTCTCATTCTGTTTACGCCAAATTCTGACTCTACCATCTGAATGTCTCAACATTAATCGAGACTCATCAGACCAGGCAACATTTTTCCAGTCTTCAACTGTCCAATTTTGGTGAGCTCTTGCAAATTGTAGCCTCTGTTTCCTATTTGTAGTGGAGATGAGTGGTACCAGGTGGGGTCTTCTGCTGTTGTAGCCCATCCGCCTCAAGGTCAAATGATGGGCTTCAACTGGAGTCAACTAGAAAGAATGGCCCAGGACAGAAATCTCTGGAACTCTATTTTTGGCGCCCCATACCCCGGGAGGGGTGGAGGGCATAACTAACTAACTAATGATATTGTGCTTTTTCTTCAAAACCCTAAATGTTTTTCAGGTACAGAAATCTTTTTAAAAGGTACAATATGTAAGATTTTTATAATAAAATATCCAAAAATAACTTGCAAAGTTTGATATATTTCCTGCAGTTGTGTACTTACAATATATATATATTTAAATAATGGCTCGTCCCTGGTCATTGTCACCTGTCAATGACATAATATTTATCCCGTTATCCTTGGTTTCCGCTCATACTGCCATAGTAACCATGGAGACAGACGTGGACAACTGCTTTATGTCTAGTGGCACGCTCATGCTGTTGTTGTTTCGTTCAAACATTATGGTCCATGGCAAGCAGACTTTGTGACAAAAGGAGAACTAAAACGAGGATCAATATCAGCGTGGCGTTTTCGAGATGCCGAGAGCTCCACAACCGTGACAAACTTCGACTTGACAGAGCTCTTGCATGTACTTTATTAGACAGGTGAGCAAATGTACATAAAACTAATCAATGTTATATAGTTGAACATGATGAAATGTTAGAATATGATCTGTATGTTATTCTAATGTTGATCTAGCTTACTGCTAGTCTCATACAGCCAACAAACTAACACATAGAATAACATTATAAAACTTTCAACACACTCAAATGCAATTTAGTGTGATAGTGTAGACCAAGTGAAACAGCGCTGCGTTACCTCACAAGTTGCATTCGTCTAATAAACTGACCTGTGTGAGTAGCAATTCTGCACTTGCGGGTAGTTCGGTAGAATGAAATGTCACACGGGACTCGCGTGTGGCGCTGATATTTGTCTCTCATTAGTAGGGCTGTAATCTCCCAGTCGACTAGGCGATTTATTGGTCGAGATGTTCTGGCTCGACCAAAATTCTGATTGGTCGATTTTTTGCCGTGTTAATTTCATCTGGTGGAAAGCACTAATTGCTAATCGGGGTGCACCCCTGTTTCACAGGTAACAGTCTGTCTTCAGAACACCCCCCTTGTTTTCACTTTTTTTGGATTAGCCCAACCCAATGCCTAAACCTAATCCGCAATTGCGCTGTGCCCACTGTTTGTATTTGTTTTGAGTCTATGATTTATTTTTCAGTAATGCACTTTATTTCGTTTCTGCTCTCGTCTTGAACTGGTTTGTTTAATATTTTTTTTTTTTTTTTATTAAAGTGGACGTGCCTTTTGTGTTTAAGAGTAAACGCTTTAAGTTAATAGTCTATTCGTGTCTCAGGCGCGAAGCTGAGCTCCTATGTTCAGCCTCGCTCTGTGCGAGGACATGCACAAGAGCGGCTGAAATGATAGTGTGTCTGTCAGTTGTTATAACATATGACAAAAACAATTGTCTAAATGATGTCGCATATTCCTCAACAGTTCTTGTGCTGAAATCACTAGTTGTACTATTTTGGGAAATCATAGGCTATAATATTGCGCAGTTGCACGTGATGCAATGCTGTCAGAGCCGACAGACTCGAGTGTGTCATTTCAGTGCAAAATAATTAGGTCAAAAATTATTTAATATACTGCAAATAGCCTACCAGCTTGTATGTTTATTTATAATTAATTTAGGTGGACAAGGATACCAGGCCTACTGCGCAGCTAATTAATCTAACGGTTTTTTTTTCGCCTAACGTTTTTTTTTTTTTGGTTGATTACAGCCCTACTCATTAGCAATCGTGCCATGCTTCATACCACAGTCATGTTAAAAACATCACTGTATTCACTCATCCATAAACATTATTAGATCCATCAGTATGACAACAAGTTCCATAATTCCACTTATGCGTCATCAACCTACGCCTTTGTTATTGTAAGAGGTTAGCGACCCCTAGTGGCGAAAAAAACAAAACATTGTAGCTTATGAATAAGGTTGTCAGCTGTGTCTCTATGATCTTTTAGTGTTTTGGAAATCTTCTGGTATCCATAGACTTTCTAATGTAATAAAACAATTGGTTATCTATAGCTTTAGTAGGAGCTCTTTTGACTTGGCCATATTTGCTACTCAACTTCAGCACATGCATGGGATAAATGTATGTGTGTGTAAGAGCACAAGATAATTCAGTTTTGTTTAGTGATGCACCGATGAGAAAATTGTGGCCGATACTGTTAACCGATATTAATATTGTGGTTATGGCCGATACCGATATTTACTGATGTCGATATCTCTGTATAGAAAACACATAGCGAGGATTAGGGCTGCACGATATTGGTAAAAAATGACATTGCGATATAAAAACAATTTCACCAGATGACTTGAATAGCTCTATTTGGAAAGAATGAATCATTGTAGAATGACTGGGGTGGTTTTGTCATGGAGTAAATCCGCATAGAAACTAATATTAATATAATGTTAACTAATGTAGTTAACTAGAGTTTAATAAATGGAACCTTATTGTAAAGTGTTTCCGATTTATGTCTCTTGAGTTCAGTGTTGGACAGATCAGTTGTTTTAACCATTCATTAAAGTGAATCGGTTCAAAGGAGTCATTAGTTCGCGAATCGGACGTGTCATTAACGGACCACGTCACACGTTGTGTGATTATCCAGGCAGTTTAGGACATCGCACAAGATTTGTCTCGACACAGAAAACATTTAATCACTAGATAGATTTTCTTTTCTTTTTTTTTATTTAAAGTGTGGTTTATGTCATCTGAATGTGTGGAAAGCTTTTCAGAGAAGATAAGGCAACGTTGTTTTAGCACAATTCACAACCAATGGTAGTTCAGAAAAAAAAAAACTTCAGTCTTCCGACCTGTTACCACCGTGTATTCTCAAAGATATTCAGTCAACTCAATTCATTAATATGCGCGAGAGAGGGAGAGAGAGCAAGACAGTTTGAAGACGGTGAGAGTGTGCGCGCGCGCGACCGGGGCTTTCCCACTGCTCGTTCTCTCAGTAAAACAAGCGCAGCAGTCAGTCATCTACATCACTCACCGGTCAAATTGAGTGACCGGTGAGGCTTTGGCGGGACAAAATCAAGGCTTTGGCGGGACAAAAATACGCCTTAGTAAGGCTGACAGAAAACAGCGCGTAAGTTCCAGTCTTCTTGCGCTTGATGTTTAAACTGACAGGACTTGCGCTCATACATGCGCTCGTGCAAAAACAAACATCCCCGCCCCCACACTCACACCTACACACACGTCAAATACACAGGAATGATTATCGGCCTGTTCACATCGGCCCTATTTTGACATCGGAACGATACCGATGTGTAAAAAATTGACCATATCATGCACCACTAGTTTTGTTATAGAGTTTGCAAAGGCTTAACTCATAAGCATTACATTATACATTGACAATCACTTTAATTTGCCACTAAACTGCTAAAGATAAATAAATAAAAAACTATCTTTAGAAAAGCTTACATCTGTAAATTATTACAGTCTCTGGGGGTTGAATATTGCAACAGTATATTTACATATTAGCTAGAAGTAAAATAAATATTATAAAATAATTTGCAATTGATTTTTTACAAAACAACAGTTTGAAAAATACCCCAAGTAAATAATTGCCCATATGCTATTTTATTATGTAGGCCTACACCATTTAATTTTTTTTACCTGTGTAGCAATGAGATACAGCAGCTCCCCTAGTGGTGGAATCAAGCATTGCTTCAATTTGCTGCTCCTGAAGTTCTCTCGGATCAGTTCTGTGAACATGGCCACCGCCTGAGGAGCAAGCCAAACACAACATTTTATATTTATATATAATAAATGAAATTATTTAGTTAATGAAAACCTATGAATGAAATCACCCAAAAAAAAATATTCTGTCATCATTTACCCCTGTTGTTCCATTCATCTTCACAAGCAAGCACATTTGAGTTGATGTTTACCAAATTAGATGTGCTCTGTGTATCTGCATTGATCAATGTTTAAATGAAAATAAAAGCCTATAAAATAAAATAAAAATAAAATATGTTCATCTTAAAGCCATTATGTCTCTTCAGAAGACGTGGATGTAACCGCTTAATTTATATGGATTACTTTTACAATGCCTGAAAGGCTGAAAATTGTGGGTTTTATTTATTTTATTTATCTTCATGTGTAAAAATGTATTGATTTAGAATGACATGGGGGTGATTCAATTATGACAATTTTCGTCTGTTTCCATGTATCTACATTTCCCATTAAAACACAACACTGGGCAGGACTTTTTAATACCCAAAAGCTTTTCGCTTGCACCACAGCTGTGAATCATGATTATTTGCTACCTGCTATTTCTATTTGGTGACAGGTGGCATTAGGGAAGGGACATTTTCCTACTATAGAGCATTTGTATGTCATGAGTGCAGGATGAGTCATTAAAACATGTCCCTGCTGTTTTGGGTCTGTATTTTTTAACAGACCAATATATGGTCTCATCCATAGAGCTCGGCCTTTAGCATTCTATTAATTCCATTATCTTCATACTCTCCGAGTGCTTGCATGAGTAAGTATATATGCTTCTCTCTCTGCAGTTGTTCTCTCAGTGGGGTGCTATGCAAATGCCCTGTGTATCACGTTTGGCCCAGAGACTGTTAAAGTCTCATAAATGATGACTTTGCAGGGAACAGATGTTGGCGGCTGTGTTTGATGAGTCTTGGCAGAGAGAGACGTGCAGCGATGATTCCTGTTACACAGGAAGAAACAAACAGGGCTAAGCTGTCTTATTCAGCACACCACGCATGCAAAGTAATTCCTGCTCTAGAACGTATCATTATCATCAACACACACACACACACACACAAATTCTCTTCTAGAGTATGCTGTTGTTATCCATACGCACATAAACACACATACACATGCTATTCTGCTTTAGAAAACATCATTATCATCGACACACACAGATGCAAGTTGAGCTGAGTATTAGAAGGTTTAAGCTGTATAGATGTGGCATGCTGGAGAAGACAGTGGAGCAATGCAGGCTTCTCTCTAGCCTGAAATCAGATATTTTTTTTTATTTTTTTTTTAACTAAGCATCCAGGAACTCAAGGCTGAAGTGACTGAGCTGAATCCTACCTGCGGTCTCGTTGGCTCATTATCAAAGATGTGTATTAAACAATTATATTTTTTGCACTGTGCCACCGGAAAGCAATCCTATCCTTAATATTTAAATAAAGCTAATCCAAAACTCTCTCTCTTAGATTTATATGTTTAATCTCCTTGTTCTAGTCATGATTTGCACTTTAATGGGGTCCTATGTATAAGGAACAGCTGCCTCTGTGTGTATATCTGCATTGCATTAGCTCTAATCAACTCTATAGTAAAACACTTGTGTTTGATGTCACTAATGTCACTTTGTCGTGCCGAGCATATTAATTAATACACCTCATTATTTATTTATTTTCAGGAGTAGAATGAAATTCAGAGAGAGAGGTTCTCAAAAGCTGTTATCAAAGAATGTACAAACTTTTAACAAATAGTGTACACATGAGCTGTAATGTGAAAGAATTTTGCAGTCCAAGTAAAAAAAAAAAAAAAATTCTTAAAGGTGCTGTATGTAACTTTTTCACTCTACTAAAGCATAAAAATATCATAATATGTTTGCATACATTGAGGAAACATGCTAAGTTCACATACTCGTTTCTCTGAAAAACACTTCTACAGCCAGTTATTTTACTTTGAAATGTGTGTTTCCAGGCTGGAATGCTTGTTATTGTTTTGGTCTGTGATACTGCACGTTGCCAATTTGCCAATTTTCATTGTCCATTGCGCTTAACTATCTTGCGCTTTATTATCTTAACTTAACAGGATCGAATGATGTACAACACTTATATGTAAGATCAAAATCAACAGAGTAATTTGAGTCTCTTTTGCACTGATAAGGAAAAAAGTGAGCTGGTATCGCCGGCGAGACCGCCGACCCCAGAGGGTTAAAATACCGGTATTATTGCTGTTAGCAGTCTGCAGTGAATTTACAGAATCCCTGTACCTTCCCATGCTCCACCTGTATAGATCTGCTACGGGGGTTAATACATGTATGTTACATGTGCAGCAGCAGCAGCATGTCTTACATGCTCACAGCAATGTCTGTGAATGTATTGGCAGTAGCAAGTCTCAGTACTTGCCCTGCAGCAGCATTAGCAGATCTATTCCGCCAATTCCAAATACATTTAAATTGCCATATCCATTACCATGCCAATCTCTATTATCATACCAATCTCCCGACAGTTGTCATGACAGAATTAAAGTAATGCATATAAATATAAATATTTCAATTTTTATAAATATTCCAATTATTATAAATATTCCAAATTTATTCTTTTTTATTACAGGTTGTTTTACAATTAATCTAATACATTTGTAGGACTCTTTTAGGATCGTATATAGCCCCCCTACATAGTGGGCCCCGGCCCCCTGGTTGAAAATTATTATTATTAGCATATTTCATATATTTATTTTTGAATTTATTTATTTATACCAGAAAAGACCAGAAGCTTGGTATTGAGGAAGGGGCGCATCCTGGACCAGTTCCGCTTCAGGATCAAAGATATCATCATACCAACGGTCCAAGAGAGACCGGTGAAGAGCTTGGGTACAGGTGGTACAGGGCAGACCTCAAGGATAAGCAGAGTGTGAGTGAGATGATTATCCAAGTAGATACCTGGATGACATCCCTAGAGAAGAGCGGCCTACCCGGCAAGTATAAGGCCTAGGGTTACCAGCACGGGGTACTCCATAGGCTGCTCTGGCCTCTGACCTATTTGAGGAGGTGGCTGGGCATCCCAAGATGCTTCTGCTCCATTGGCTTGTATAGCACAGGCAGCCAGCTGCAGCTGCCAGTGACTTCAGTGGTCGAGGAGTATAAAGCGACAAAGACACGCCAGGCCATGATGCTGTGAGACAGCAAGGATGAGAGAGTACGCCAAGCAGGTATTGTCATCAGGACAGGTCATAAATTGTCAGCCGAAACAGTCAGCAGAGCTGAGGATTGACATGCTGATATCGTTGGGACAAGCTCTGGGCAGGCTTTGACTGGGTTGAACGAGCTGCAAAAAAGCTGGCCGAAAAGAACGGCGCAGCATTGTGCAGAGGGAGGTCCGAAAAGCAGAGGAGGAAACCCGGCATGTCAAGGCTGTTGCCATGAAAAAACGTGGCAGGACATCTAGACCATGGAAGGATGTCGGATAAAGTTATTGATGTGTTCTTTCTACGATGTCCTGCCTACTCCATCAAACCTCCATATTTGGGGGATGGTAGGGAGCCCAAGCTGCACGCTCTGTGGAAAGCCAGCCAATCTTGAGCATGTCCTTTCAGCATGCCAGTCAAGCTTGCAAGACATGAAATTCCGGTGGCGTCATGATAAGATCCTGTCTCGGTTGGCGGATGGTGTGGAACAGGCAAGGAAGAAGGTTAAACAACTTTTCGACGGGTACCACTTTATCCATTTCGTCAGGACAGGAGAGCACTGAAGCAGGATGGAGGAGCAGAGGAGTCCTGGCCTCAGCAAATGACTGGGAGATGCGGGCAGACCTGAAGAAGCAGCTCAAATTCCCAGAGGAGATAGCACACACTAGCCTCAGACCAGATCTTGTCCTCTTCCTCATAGAGTTAACAGTACCCTGGGAAGAGATGGAGGAGGCACATGAGCACAAGCTGTAAAAATATCAAGGCATTGTCCTCGAGAGCCAACAAAAAGGATGGAAGGCCTGGAATCTACCAGTAGAGGTTGGCTGCAGAGATTTTGCTGGACAGTCGCTCTGGAGAACCCTTGGACTGTTGGGGATTGAAGGGATGAACAGGAAACGGCTGATAGGCAATGTCACCGAACAGGCGGAAACAGCAACTAATTGTAGCCACCAAACTCTTGAGAGATGTAGCCAAGTTTTGAGCTGGCCCAGGGAGAAGGACAGTGCTTGAAAGGAGGAGAGAAGGAGAGGAGAGAGCGATGCCACTGGCTCACAGATGGGGCAGGGCAGAGTACCTGTAAAGGTGGGCCAGTTGCGAGGATCACATCGTATTTTGCATATTCATTCATTTGTCAATTTGTGTTATTTTATCATTTGATGAATTATTTTACACTATTATTCTAAATTGTGGATAATTTCTGCATGGAAAAAATATTAAGATGGTAACCTAAGAACCAAAACCGACACAAAATGAAACGTCTATTGATATAAATCTATTTTTGAATCTAAATCTATAATTGAGTTATGTAAAGTTGATACAGATCAACAATCAAGTCACATACTGGATCTCTTTGTCCAGAGTTCCATTTATCTAGCGAGTAGCTTTAAATCAGTAAAAGTACCCAAATTAACAAACTACCAAAGTTAATCTGAATCAACATCCACTGACAATATCAGTGTTCATGCTATTCATACCTCAGTTTAATACGTTTCTAAAATCTCTCTAATAATCATGTAAATATTAATGCGGGAGTAAATGGATGATGGAGAATTTTATCAGCCAGCAAATTTTCTCCCTACAACAAATTAAGAAGTGAAAAAATAACATTTAAACTTAAACTTATATTAGGAGTTTGTCTGGAAGTATTCCAACTTCACTATTTTCTACAAAGCCAAAGGGGGAAAAAAGTGTCACACCAAAAACCAGATTTAAAATTCAGATTCCTAAACAACACCATCGACAATGTGAGACAAAGGACACGAGAAGCGGCAAGTTACCACGGAGGACGTATTGGGAGATGCAGATCTAATCAACTGAAGCTCAGAGAATCAATATCATTCCCTGAGTCAGTCAGACAAATCCAGTCAAAGTCATGTCAAATGCAGTCTTAGACATCCAGCGGACAGAGCGAGGGAGAAACAGAGTGCCCTTGATACTCTCTCACTGGTTTCCAATCGCACCGATACTCTTGTGTGCCACTTAAAATTCAACTCTGAAATATTCACTCCCTCCGGCACAAGACGCTGCAGATGCCTTTATGCGCTGACAGAATCTGGATTTTTAATACATTTCTCTATGAAATATATATGGAAGAAGTAACTTTAAAATGACTTTCCAGAAAATGGTTTACCATCAAATAAATAAAGTAGTGAAAAACCCCCAAACTGGCTCATCCCTGTGGTACCTCCTTCAGATGGCTCTGCTGTAATTCTTAGCAGTGTGTAATGGGATTGGTCAGGGGAAACAGTCAGGCTCTTCTGAGAGTAACTCTGAATTTAGGCTAGGGGCACGGGGGATTGCCGGTGCCAAGGACAATGATTAATTTACCACTTCATTAGACTAGTGCTCAAGTATTCATGGCGAACACAGACACAGAGGGTTTTAGGGAGGATTAGAGAACGAATCGAACGTCAGAGGGAGAAAGACCAAGGGCCCTATTTTAACGATCTGAAACGCAAGTGTCAAAGCGTAAAGCGCAAGTAACTTTGTGGGCGGATCCCGGCGCTGTTGCTATTTTCCCGGCGGGATAAATGCCTCTTGCGCCTGGCGCAAATCTAAAAGGGGTTGGTCTAAAGTAGCTTCATTATTCATAGGTGTGGTTTGGGCGTAACGTGAAATAAACCAATCAGAGCGTCATCTCACATTCCCTTTAAGAGCAGGCGCGCTTGTTCTAAAGCGGATTCCTATTATAACGGCGGATTTGCCAGGCGCGCGCCAGGAGCGGTTCACAGGCGAGGAGAGCAACGTTCTCGTCAGGGCCGTAAAACACAGAGAAGTGACATTGGGGATGGAGAAACCCACCCAAATTAACTCCTCTTAAACAGGCGTATGATAATTTGGGTAAATGTGTAAGCTACATGCTTACACATTGGGTAAATGTGTAAGCTACATAATAAATGGTCTATCTATCTATCTATCTATCTATCTATCTATCTATCTATCTATCTATCTATCTATCTATCTATCTATCTATCTATCTATCTATCTATCTATCTATCTATCTATCTATCGTAATAATGTATGATTTGCAAAAATGAAAACTGCTGCTTAGATGAGAGAATCAAAGTGTATGCGCGTTGTGCACACGCTACATTGATTATGGCCAAGCATGCGCGCTTAAAATAGCATTATGAACAACGCGCAATGCGCCACTGACTTTAGACTAGTTTTTTTCTGGTCAGTGGCGCAATTGTTTTATAGAACAGCAAAATAGCATGAGGGAAAGTTTGCGCCGGAACACGCCTCCTCTTTGCGCTGAACCGCCCCGGGGAGCGCAAGTGTATTTCTTAGTTAACCGACGTGCGTCTGTGGAGGAAAAAGCCCGCTTTGCGCGGGTGCAAAATAGGAATGATACATGCGTCAGTGTACAAAGTCATTTGCGCCGAGTGCAAGATAGAGCCCCAAGTGTTTTGGGGTGGATGTAGAACGAGAGAGAGAGCACCAAAAGCAAACTTTCCTGAGAAGAGACTTTAGTGCTCTACCTGTAATTCTGTAATTTCCTTCCTCCTGCTTCAAGCCCCTGTGCGACATTTCTATTTATAGAAGCTTTTATCGTTGCCATGACGATGAATTAGCCCAAGTTTCTTTTAGATGATGGATACTGCCTTTGAGTGAAACTTACCCATGTGGATCCACTTACTGCTAAGCTTCCAGCTCCCACAAACAACAAGCATTACAACTCGAAATCAATATTGTGACTCTTTTAAAACACATTTCTCAAGAAAAATTTACAATTATGGCTGGAATACACAATACATAGAATTATTTTTTAAACAATGACGTTATCTCCTCGCTGCTAATAATTGTGTTAATTATTTCGTATATGTACGCATAGAAAAACTAAGGGCTTTCCATACAGCCTTTCGTCACTTCGCCTGATCCTCAAACAACTAGTGTCAATCTCACCAGATCTCACAATAAACATCTTTATACAGACCCAGATTACAGACCTCTCATTAACCAGCTGTACATACGCGTATATCTGCGTTATTCAAAGAAACCTCACATCTGAAGCTATAACGCAGCATGTCTTACTCTTTAACTGTATATGATGGAATGTTTAAGATGAAATTAAATTGAATTATTTCATATTTCCTTATATGATTTTATATATGGATTATATAATATTAATGCAACATACTTCAATATAATTATAGTTGTGTTACGATGAAATATAACATTGTACACAGTTCACACACAAACTTGTGCGTACGCATGCTTAATGAATGAGACCCATTGGGTCAAAGCACAATTCTATTATACTGAATGTTTCTGTCTGTGCCCAAGCTCTTACTTATAAAGTGTCCACCTCAATAAAACATAAGAATAGATATATCTTTCTGGGTAAATGTTTCGCCCTCATCTTGAGGTGGTTTGTTTAGACGTAGGTCAGATGGCCACATATCAAATATGTATCTGAATTTAAAACCACATTTGGAATTGACGAATCATGATGAATCGGATGCAAAAAAATTAATCTTGATTTTCGTTTACACGTGTGTAACAATATCCGACACGTCAGATTTTTTGTGCCAGTGAACGCAGCCTTTGATAATTTGAGCAAATTTTAGAACACAAACACCTTAATCTGATAAAGATGATCATTTTTTTTATTTATTAAATCGCTTCTAAAAAGCCACCTTTTCTCCTTGGCCTTTAAAACCTGATGTTGACATTTTGTTTAGCTTTCCTGTAGCTCAAACAGTAGAGCGTTATTTATTTTATTGTTGCTATGGTATGGCTATTTTTCTGTTTTATGTCTCTTGATTTGTTTTATTTGTATTGTATGCTTTGTATAAAGTATGTATTTTATGTTTTTTTAATTTATTTATCTGTACTGTCCACTTCGGTTGTTTTAAAGTGCTTTATAAATAAAGTTTGATTGATTGATTAATTACCAGGCTAGTGGCAGGCAAGTACAGTGTGTTCAATGGATTGTTTAACAACATACCTATTGTTCAGCTGATGAAATGTCTTTCCGAAAAGGAAAAAATAACTTCAGTAGACAAAAACAGTTTTGAATGTAGTGAGTTGTGAAAATTACGTGATCTAGGACTTTTATATAGTGCGTGCCATTGTAAAGGCTGTAAGTTTATCCCTCACAGCCTCGTTGTCATCCACGTTGAATTCAATATGGCATCTACCCTGACTAAGATCTATTGTTTTTATTTGTCATGCATCTCTTAGCAATGTGGCGCATGAGGTTGTGTTGGAAATTATACACAAGTTTAGTAGTGTGATCCCCAGTTGTTTTTTTCTGTACCCATTTACAAAATCGGCAAGTGTATGATGCAAAATCTGTTCAGACTTGAGTTCAATTTATTATCTAAGAAGGCCCTCTAGAGTGCAGAAGAACCATAAAAAAGCAGCTCTGCTTTTCTCTCACCAAAGAGAAGCACTAAAAGAAATCGCCATGACAGGATCGGCCGCTCAGACACAAAACCCCTGTAGAGAACTGGGGAGAGAGTCCATCACCCTGAGCACTTCTTCAATACCGACCCACTGAGCCCAGAGAAGCAAGAAGGAAGAAGCCGCAGAGAGGAGCTGCAAAGTTTAAGCTTGTATTGTGTAAAACGGCAAAAAAAAACAGCCTAGATTACGACGGACGGCCATTTTGTGCCGCTGTCTACGCAGAGCCCGGGTGGTACGCGAAATGAACAAAAAGGTGGAGAAGTTGGTAGTGGAACGGAAGACAAACCTGTCTAAAATCAAGGATTGGGGTGGAAGAATTTGTTTTTGGTTAGCCACAATGCATCTGTGCAGCGCTTTGATGATAAGTGAAAGCTTTTTTAAACCTGTTTGGATGAGATGTCTGTCCTCTTTGTATTTGAAAAGGCTGGGATAGAGACGTAAAAAGCTTATTTCACCTGGCTTTTACTGGATTTCAAGTGCTTTGGATTGAGAGCTGAGAAATGATTTTTGTTAGTATCTTTTCCTCTTGAGTAGTAGATGAGAATACAGCAATGCTACAGTGACACCTGCTGGTTGCCCATTGTTGTTATAATGTGAAAATGTCCACCATGCTTCAAACACACACAGACACACAAGTCTCACCTCTGTGACAGGAACGTCGTCTCTGAGCTCTGTGCAGTGGGAGGCCAGCAGGCCGATCACTCTCATCACTTTGCTCCTTCTAAAACACAAATTTAAACAATCAAATGACTCTCATCCAGCTGTTTCATTATAGCTGTTCTACTTTTTTAAATCTGACATTTTATTCCATCTTTTAAATATATAAATGGAATCTTTCTTACTTTGAGCTCTCTCTTGTCTTTTTAAGAATAGTGATATTAGCGATACATCCCTATGGTTTTAGGATTGGTGTTTTTCAGCATTATTTTATGACATCATTTTTGGAGGTTGATAAGATGAATGCAATGTTATTCCTATTCCCACTCTGTCTAGATTACAAAAGTAATGAATAAATATTTTCTACTGTACAATATTTAGATTTGTATCAGTGTTCACTATCATATCATTAATGGCTGCCAGAAATTCAGCTTTGCCATCACAGGAATAAATAAAATATTAAAATAAATTAGAATAGAAATAGTTATTTTAATATGTAATAATATTTCACAATATTATGCTTTTACTGTAGTTCGGATCAAATAAATGCAGCCTGGTGAGCATTAGAGACTTCTTTCAAAAACCTTTTTTTTTAAAACATACCGACCCCAAACTTTTATATGGTATTGTATATAAAATGTTTGAATGGTATTGAATATAACAGTATTATATAGATTGATCATTTAAATATGAGATGTGGGGTGTTTACAGTGTTTAATGCTGGTTTTCACTGTCATTTAAAACTAAAGTGGTTCTGTCTGTTGCTTGGTGACTAGTGTGGAGATAGAGGCTGTAATCATGTGAGGGGCCAGTGAGACACATGCCTGTCATTGCTTCCACTCAGAGTCAAAGGGACAGAGAAGAGAAAGACAGCCACTGCATTTCTCTGAGCAGACACTCCAAGGCTGTCACCAATAGTGTCATCTGAGAATACTACACTAGTTACAGTGATCCGGCAAAAGTATGTAGGATTTTTTTTAAACTGGTAAATGTATATGATTGATTAAAGGTTGTATCAGCGATTGTGGGTGACCAGGGTTTCCGTTGTCCGGTAATTACCGGACATTGGCCGGGAAAAAAATGAAATGTCAGACAAAATTAAATCTCTCCGGTCAAATTGTCCGATTAAAATTGCGTAATAATCCCGCCCCCCTAACACAATATGAATTTGAGAATAATTCTAAAATGTTTAAAGCAAAAATACACCGACCTTTGGCTATGTTATAAAGGAACAGGCTCTAGGGTTTGAAAGTTATAAAACAACATCGCATGCTGCATTTCAAATAAAGCGCACGCCTATAACGGCTGTAATATAGACCTAAACAACGAATGATTGAGTGAGACGTTTCAGATATGGCCAGGCCCATTGATATTATTGATAAAGTTGATGATGCAGACTCGCCATCTTCGCAGTAGTGAACGCGCCTATAGAGAGAAGTGTGCACGCGCCGGCGCCTCCGGGTCCTGATTAGCCTATATTGTCCACTATTGCTTCTTATTTATTAATCCAGGCAAATTTGTTGATGAAACATTGATTAAAATTAATATACAATTTATACAAAACGAAATTGCACTATATTTGCACTAAATTGTACTATACACCAGAGCATGAGCAAAGCGGAGCGGTGTGACACTTATTATAAGTTAAAAAACTTAAATATACGTTTCATATTTATAAATAATATAATGTTATTTTTTTTTTTTCATCTATGTTGATTAGGCTATATGAAAAGGGAACCGCATGAGATGAGTAAGATAGGATCATAAGATGACCAATAGGCCTATATATCGGAAAACATTTGGAATTGGTCAGACATGATTTTGACCACTTATTTAGTTTTGTTTTGTAGAAAGCCTTTCTTTAAAGTTTATTTCGTTTTGTATAAATTGTATCTTCATTTTAATGAATGTTTCATCAACAAATTAGCCTGGATTAATAAATAAGAATTTATTCATATGAAGTGAGCATTTCTCTCTCTAGGCGCGTTCACTACTGCGAAGATGGCGAGTCTGCATCGTCAACTTTATCAATTTATCAACAATTTAAATGTTTCATGCATAATCATTACTTTCGCCGGTTATTTGTGGCAAGCTTTATTTCAGGTGTTGCGTGATATCTCTGCGCCCAATAGCAGTGCTTCGCCTGTGTAGAGTCTCCGCAACGGCGATAGATTGAAACGCGCGTCCGAGTGAAGATTGCGCAAGAAGCTTGATTTAAAAAACAACTGATTTTAGCGCTAGATCTCTTATTTAATAGCGAACTAAATGAATGATCTGCTAGTTAACTGGATATGTTTTATTTATTTGTATTAGGTACATCCGTGCCTCAATGTTTCAAAAAGTGAATGTGTGTGAAACCATAGTAAAAAACAATTGGTGTTAATTGACGCCAATCGGACGTTCATGTTTTTTCCGTCTATTTGAAAGTTAGGCTAATAATAACATGTTGCATTCTATACGGCCTGATTATGTCATTTTTTAAGTTACATAGCCTGCCTCCAGTTTTCCTCAACTTGACTAATTAAGAGGCGATATTTGACCGGCATTTCATCAAAATGTCCGTTAAACGAAACCTCTGCCGGTCACTTTGACCGGCACCATTTTTTTCTAGCGGAAACTCTGGGGTGACGTCACTTCTGTTTGTGTTTGAAACGAGATCCCAAACAAACCAAGTTAGCTCGCCCCTCCCTCCCGTTTCGTGCATCATGAAAAAAAAAAAGCGTCCGATTTAAAAATGTTCAAATCTTTAAGCTCTCTCCACCGTTCAAAAGCCTTCCCAATTATTATTCGTTTCTTTAACGAATAACGACGGTTTTCCCTCGCCCTAATCCTCCTTCCTTCTTGGGGATTGCCTCTTCCATGTTCACTGTATCTGGTCCGTTGATAGACGCGCTGGCTTCTTCTTCAGCTCTGACTTCGCGTGCAGGCGCCGTGCACGAGCGCAAAAACAAACAAAACCCGCCCCTGTCGGTGATTGGTTGGAACACTGTTTATTTTGGTTTTGAGTGGTGGTTGTACCCATTTGTGTTTGTGTGCAGATCTCAGAGCCTAGGCTGCCTACAGAGACGCGTTTTTTTGACAGCCTGCTTATGGGGCGGGCAGCTAGCGGATCGTTAGGAAAGATTAGATGAATGTGATCATTTATGTTTGGGCCTGAAATCGCTGATACAACCTTAAAGTGTATCCAATAAAACCAAAAAAGAGAATATTATGTCCTTGTAATAAATGAAAGTTTTTTTTTTTTTTTTTTTTTTTTTAAATCAAGGCTGAGAATTATGTACTGAAGGGTGAAACTTACATATCCCAGTTCGGAGCATGTCGCATCTGTTGAACCAGGACAGGGAACTGTGTCAGAAAGAAACAGGGGGAAAAAGTCACAATTTGAGATGTCTCAATATATTTTCACTTTTATTAAATCAGAGCCAGTGAGTTTTTTTTAGAGCGCTCTTAACAGCATGATTTTGCAGCATTATAATTTGGTTGCGCTTTATTTTACAGTACATCCACTTATGTATATTACCTAAGAAAGTACATGGCAATGTACATGGATTAGGGACAAGTTCAGGGTTAGTACCTAGTTATTACCCAGTTAAAGGGATAGGTCGGCCAAAAATGATATTTAACACATGCATTACTCACCGTCAAGCCGTTCGAGATGCATATGTCAATCTTGTTTCAGACGAACACATTTTCAGTTATTTTAGAAAATGTCTTAGACCCTTCAGTGGATATAATGTGAAGCAATGGGGTCCACCTCCTTCAAGTCCCAAAATGTGCATACATCCTTCACAAAAGTAATCCATCCGGCTCCAGGGGGATAAACGAAGGCCTTCTGAGGGTAATCCGTGCAGTTTTGTCGTAAAAATATACATATTTAAAACTTTATAAATTAAAATATCTGACTTCTGGCAACGATCGACGCGCGTTCACGGGTGATGGAAGTCGGCGTACGAGGTAGGACGTAGCGTAGGAACCGTCGTGACGTAGACGTTGTTTTGCTCTGCTCTCTGGCTGCGCAGGCGCGTTTGTTCTACGTCACGACGGTTCCTACGCTACGTCCTACCTCGTACGCCGACTTCCATCACCCGTGAACGCGCGTCGATCGTTGCCAGAAGTCAGATATTTTAATTTATAAAGTTTTAAATATGTATATTTTTACGACAAAACTGCACGGATTACCCTCAGAAGGCCTTTGTTTATCCCCCTGGAGCCGGATGGATTACTTTTGTGAAGGATGTATGCACATTTTGGGACTTGAAGGAGGTGGACCCCATTGCTTCACATTATATCCACTGAAGGGTCTAAGACATTTTCTAAAATAACTGAAAATGTGTTCGTCTGAAACAAGATTGACATATGCATCTCGAACGGCTTGAGGGTGAGTAATGCATGTGTTAAATATCATTTTTGGCCGAACTATCCCTTTAATCACTATAATAAATACACAGTCTGTACATGTGGAACAGGACTGTAAAAAATAAAATGCTCCCTGTAATTTTATAATATACTTTTATTTTTTTTCTGCCTTTGACATCAGAGCTCAGGACAATCCCTAAAGAAGAGTTTGGTGTGAGTGCTTATGTGCCATCAGCCAATCAGTGCTGTCATCGCATCAAGAAATTATTTTCAGTGGCTCCAAAGTGACTGGTCACATGGCATGGTGATTGGCTCTAAAAAAAACCTGTATCCGGAGTGCTCAAGTAATTTCCGTTAGATGAATGGAAATGCTAATGGTGGTGAGACACCTAGTGGCCAGAGGAGGAATGTACGGGTGTACAGGCTACTGTGATAACAAATTATACTTAAAAATGACCAAAATGTTCAAATCCAAAATAGAAATGTTGCCTATCTGATTTACATTGGTTTAAAGTTTCAGTATAAATATGGAATGAACCCTTTAGGTACCACTGAAATCTAATACATTAAGAATCTATGAAGTTCCTCTGATTACAGTTTACATTGATGAAAGCAAAGGAAGAGGAAGCTAATTTTCAGACTGAGGCGAGGACGACAGCAGACACCCTTTCCTCAGCAGACACACTATTGTTCAACTTCCTCATTAGATTATCTACACGTCCAACCACTCAATAATATCACAAAAGAAAAGTGTGATTTGCACCACATGAAATGGTTACCGATTAAAAGGTTAACTAAGTCCTATTCAATTTATTTTATTAAAAAATGCATTTTTATTCATGAATTAATTTAAAATGAAAACATGATGAGGGTATGTAAAACATTTCTTTTGTTTCAGTGAGAGCAGCTGTTGAGTGTGTGGCTTTAAAGGTTAGTTCCAGTAGCGAGGGAAGTAGGGGCGTTCTATACACTAGGGATGTGCCGACTTTCCAACAATTTAATAAACTTGTGACAACACTATATTACCAATTACACCGCATATTTTAAGATAAGATGTGTCAATGACGCTCAGAATCTGTAATGCTTATTTGTATCTTTAACGTTAGATCTTTCCTTTCCTTGGAACAAACCGGATGCTTAATGTTGATTCATTATTACTCTGTGTTCTTTGGGACAATGAGCAGCTGACTTATGCTGCTTAGTACACAAAATTCAAAGTAAACCCCTTTAGGGTGATACAAGATCAGGGTGATATGGGACACCTGATCACCCTGTCAGGGTTTAATTTGTGATAATGACCATGTGACTGTAGATTGTCTCTTTCAACAGCATGTGTTTCAGATGCGTCTTACCAGCTGGGAGTGTATAAGATGTGTGGCCATCTCACTGTGGTTACAGACAGAGCAGAGGTAACACAGTAGGTTGAGTTTAGTGCGTGGTGCTGTGGCGTTGGCTGATCCGGCCCGGTCCACTGACTCCAGAACAGCACACACCTGCTGTAAAAACTGAGACCAGTCCTCTGAGTTCAGACAGGACAACCGTTCAGCTGAAGAGAGAGAGAGAGAGAGAGAGAGAGAGAGAGAGAGAGAGAGAGAGAGAGAGAGAGAGAGAGAGAGAGAGAGAGAGAGAGAGAGAGAGAGAGAGAGAGAGAGAGAGAGAGAGAGAGAGAGAGAGAGAGAGAGAGAGAGAGAGATGAGAGAGAGAGAGAGAGAAGAGAGAGAGAGAGAGAGAGAGAGAGATGGAGAGAGAATCTATTTTATTCCACAAACCAGGGTTATTAAATACTAAGGGTGCTTTCACACTAGCACTTTTGGTGAGCAACCAGGGTTCAATTGACGTCAGAGTTCAGTTCATTTAGATGATGTGAACGGATGCTGATTCCGAACTCGGGTGCGCACCCGCAAACCATACCAGAGTTCGCTTAAAAAGGGTGGTCTGGGGTACGGTTCATGTGAACTCCGGTACGGTTCGCTGCTGATATGAATGCAATCGTACAAAATCGGGGAAGGAAACCGCTATTAATGATGTATGATTTGATAAAAATGTGTGTTTCACTCACTTTCCTGATGAGCGTGACTGGCGTACTGCAAACAGAGAGCTGTATATCTCATTTCTGCTTGCCTTTAGCGTTCTTTAGACCATTTGCAGTGCGTTAGCGGCAGATAGACAAGTGCCGTTAGATACTGAAGCTTTGGAAAAAAAGCCAATGGTTCAAATATATATATATATATATAAAAGTGAGGCGAGCAACGTTACGCATTTTGCTGCCTTCTTCTGCGTCATTGTTACCAAGCAACAAGGTAAACAGCTGCTGCTTTGATGATGCAAACGCACCGCGGTTCGGACCCAAATAATACAAACTGAACACAGTCCAATGGGGACAGGGGGAGCAATCGAACCAAGTCTGAAAGCACCCTAAAACTAAACCCATAGGAAAAAAACATGTGTGTATATATATATATATATATATATATATATATATATATATATATATAAAAATTTTATTTCAGCTAGTTACCAAGGAAACACTTATAATTTTCAGTTAGTTTTATTTGATTCAAATTAATAAAAACTATATACCCATGTAAAAAAAAAAACTGATAAAAAATACTAAAACTTTAAAATTAAAACATAAAATAAAAACTATCATCTAACTGATTACAGTTATCTACTACTTGAGAATAAACTCTCTGTACATTAATCAGTCTTGAGTGAATGTATTTTAGCATAAATAAATGCATATATATATAAATTACACACCTTTAATATTTGCACAGTGTGGACTTAAGTCCACAGAAAGTTATCTTCAAGCAATATTACAACCAAAAATGAATGCATCCTTTTCACATTTCCAGGGTTTTTAGAAGCGGAACTCGTCACAGTGGTGAACGGAAACTACAACAATTATAATTTTTGCATTCCCATTTGGTCTCATAGCAAAAGAAAACATCCATGATACCAAAGGTATGACTTTGCAAATTAGGAAAAATGTTTTGAAAATATTTAACGAACCTGAATTTAGGTCTTATTATTGATAATGCTTCTGAGCTGTTGAGCGTTTAATAATTATGTTATTAATATTAAATAATTATGTTAACTTGGAATGACATTAAGGAAGGGTAATAATACAATTTTCATCTTAGATTATCAAAAAAACACTAGATCTTCCTGTTTACCTGAGTGTGCTGGTACACAAAGCGTTTTGGGGTCAAAACGAACTGGAGCAGTCTTTAAAATCTAAAAATAGAGCAAAATTAGAAACTAACACCAGTGTTGGTTAGACATAACATTGTCATATTCACACAAGAATAGGGACAAAAAGTTTAGAAAACAGGTCCCTCAGACATGGTCTATTTTGTTGGACTGAAGGTCTCTTTACCTTTGGGTTATCCATGATGGGAGTAACTGCAAGGTCATTATCCGTGTATAAAAGTGATTTAATACAAGTGTTCAAGTCACTCTGCTCCTCCACCATGACACTGGATTCCTACAGAACACATGTAACACACTCCTTTCCTTAACACGGCTTAAATAGTACTATATATAAAAAAAAGAATATTTAACACTGGTGTTATAACTTCTGTTAAACTGTAAAATGATATTCCTGCACCAGTGCGATCAATAATCCAGAGCAAGGTTATCCAATCGTATTCCACCCCCTTCCTGCAACTCCAACCTGCTCCAGCAAACCTGCCTGAAGTTTCTAGTAATACTGAAGATCTCAATAAACTGAAGATGAATTGGTTCAGGTGTGTTTAATTAGGGTTGAAGCCAATGCTGCTTTCATGTGCTATTGGAATAAATGAAAATGCGTGACTCCTAGTTAAAAATTGAATATGGGTGCACTCTCATGAAATATTTACCACTGGGAAGCTTGGGGATAATTTTGATACCCATGTTCCAGAGTTGGGCTGGCCACAAACTTTAAACATGGTGGGAGGGGAGAACGATTGCTGCTATGAGTGGCATTCTTTATTAGTTTTTTCCACAACAGTCTTTTCGGTAAAGTAGAGCATATTTACAAATATGAATAATCATTTGAAGTGTATTGTATATTTTATACACAGCGAAAATAGCCTGTATTTGACCAGAATTGTCTATGTATTTATATCCGCTAAATATCATTTTTTAAAGGATACCTTTAATACGAGATTCCCAATAAATAGGCAAGAATAAATCTGGTATCCTCTATGATTCCTGTTCTTTCCGACAACAAAGCACTTGAATGCAACAAGCTCGTAATCACGACTTCACGTGTTATCGGAAATTTCCTACTTCCCACTTCTGAAGGCAGCATAAGCTCTGCAGGATTGCACACCCCTAAAGTGGGTGTAACTACGGGTGCGTTTCAATCAGCAGCTTCCTAGGTCATAAACCAGTATATCATGTACACAAATTCAGGCACTGGTAAGGACAGAAAGGACCCTGGCTCACTAGACATTGGAACACTGATGATGGCGACATGGCAACATCCTCATTGTACATCTGGGATTTATGAACAACGGCAGAGCTGATATCTTTATTATATTGTTGTTATAGTTATTATTATTATGCTATATTATTGTATGTTAATTTAAGTACATTATGATAAATACTTTGCTTGTCACATTCAGTTTGTGCAACATTTTAGCCATAAATAAATTATAAATGTTAGCTAGATTATTTTAATTACATGTCTAGCGATGTAGGTTTATGATGACATGTAATTCAATAATGGTTTGTATTTTAAAAAACATCTATCGCACCCCATTGTGTAGTGAGTTGACCCATGTAATTTATGTTTCGCACTTTAGAACTTCTGTTAAGGGAACATAGTGAGCATAGATGTTCCCTTGTTTTCATGGTGCACTGTGGGATATTTTTGGGTTTGATCGATCCTTTTTAGGGAGCAAACATTTCAGTGCAGTGTTCTCGCGCATGCGTCGTGGCGCTCTCATGGACTCACGTCAGAGGCCCACACAGAAGAAAATGAAAAGTTGAGTCGTTATTTTTTTTTATTTTTGTCTTTTTTGCGCACAAAAAGTATTCTCGTCGCTTGATAAACTTAAGGTTGAGCCACTGTAAGTCACTTTTTTTAGGACTATTTTACCGATGTCTTCACTAACTTTTCTGGGCCGGCAGAATGAAATTACCTAGCAGCCTATGAAGGAGTGAGACAGCTCTCATATTTAATCAAAAATATCTTAATTTGTGTTCCGAAGATGAACGAAAGTTTTACGGGGTTGGAACAACATGAGGGCGAGTAATTACTGACAGAATTTTCATTTTTGGGTAAACTAACCCTTTAAAATGGCCGATTCTCTGATCGTCCTGACTACTGAACTAGGGAGCTGATTGAGACACCCAATATCTGTGTCTCATTGAAGGCTGTGCCCTATGGATGTCCCATTTCAGGAAAGACACCTTTATAAATTTGACTGTTATTCCTTGTGAGGCGTAATCTATTGTAACTTTTTTCTTACTTTTGTCACAGCTTTGAAATGAGACAGCAAATGTGCTAGTTGCAAATGGTAATGTTAAATATATCCAGTAGATGGTGCTGTGGTATAACAAAACATATCATATGCAAGCCTGAGGTTAACTGCTTAACAAGCATAAGGAATAAACTAATAGCTCAGCTTTCCACTGTGATGTTTTGTTGAGCGTTTTTAGTATGGCCTGTGGGACATGTACAGAGGACACAAAAACATTTCACAAAAAGAAGTTTGCCAATATTTAAATAAGTACTTGGACACATTCTGGATGTCAAACACCAGTGGAACCTGTGACTACACACTGCTAGAACACTTGTGTAACACCTGATGGGATCTGACTCCATACATCCACTATAAATTACAGTGGGACTACTATGTTAAAAGCCTTTGCAAATCTGGTTAGTTTTGGGAAAAGCTAGCATCATTTTCTGAAGATGCCACTTGCTTTAATACTTTTATTTAGAGGGCAACTGTATGGTTATACTTGTGAACTCACTTGAATTGCAGGCCGATTGTCTTCCATCTCTCTAGAGCTTGTTCTGGGAGTTGGTCTGGAGCTGTTTGATCAGAGATACAAAACAACTGAAATATACAGGAATATCCTGATACTAGCATTGAACACCCCTCATGACATACCACAATATCAAAAGTACACACGATGTCTCATGAACTTAAAACCCTTTTCATGTAAATGTTTCAAATTAGTTTTGTAGATAAATGTATATTGTGCTTACATATATATATTTCTTGACAAAACTAAAAATGTAATTTTATTTACATTTTTAATGGAGTAAGACCAAATGCATAGAAGGCAAATGCATATTTATTTAAAAAAAGAAACAAATATTTGTATTTTCTTTTTTTAAATAATGAACTACATTTTTATTTGTTTAAAATTGTTATGTGCCCACTGCATATAAAACACTTTTTATTTATTTAATATTTTTGGCAGCTGCTCGTTAAAAGTAAGAGACTAAAATGTTCTGATTTTACTATATTTTAATGTTTACAAACAGGTTAAAAAATGTACATGTTTAAGTGTTTATGAATGATTGTGAATTCAGAGAGATATAGATGAAGTTACAGGAGAGTGATTTGAGTTACCTGAGAAGGAAAATGGCCTCTTTGGAATCAATGTCCAGCGCAGACTTTGGTCTAAACTCAATCACATTATCTATGATACAAAAACATCACAAAGAAAAGGTCGGACAAAAAATAATGATGAAAACAAAGTCTTCCTAAAATAAAAAAATAACTCTAATGCTTGTAAAACAATCTAGAAAAACAAATTAAGACCCAAGGAAATCATCTGTATGGCAGGCTATTCAACAGCCATGTAATTTTTTGCCCATTTTTTTAATTATAGTGTTTGTTAACACTGTAAAAGATCTGTAAAACAGGAAGTTTTTTTTTTCTCCTGTAATATAGCTCTACTGTTTCAAATGAAGCCCATTTTGGCAGATTAAGTTTTAACAATGTACAGTACAGCAAAATAAATTCACGTTTACATAAGCTCTCTCTTCTGTCATGTAGTGCCCCTCTGTTAATATGCAATGGAGGTATAAGCCAGCAGTAATCTAATCCTTAAGTGTACAGATGTGTATGTGTGTGTGTGTGTGTGTGTGTGTGTGTGTGTGTGTGTGTGTGTGTGTGTGTGTGTGTGTGTGTGTGTGTGTGTGTGTGTGTGTGTGTGAGAGAGATTTAATACTGAACATAAATATCATTTGTACAGCAATGCAAACTGAAGATGAGTTGTACAGGCTCACACACGTGTATGTGCTTGGCGACCACACATGCACAGAGCATAGGCATAAGATCCTATGCAGGCACACAAAGTGTGGCAGGACGTGCTGACTCTCATGTCTGCTGCATTACCTAATGTGAAGGACTTGCTGAGGTTTGGGCTGGCTGGGTCAGCAGATGCTGTCTGTGACTCCTCTGCTGTCTGAGAAGCCAAAGGGGCCAAATGCAGGCTGAAACACACACACACACACACAACCAATCAATTGGAGAAGACAATAGACAAATGTAAAAATGGATGGGTCATATTTTACCACCAAAAATAAATAAATACATATTAGTTTACATGCGGTAGCAAATTAAGGACACAGTCCCAATAACTTGAAGAGACCTTTACACTGACTCTGAAAAACATCTAGAGAAAGATGCACAGGGTCCCTGATCATGTGTGTGTCTGAACATGCCATAGTCCTGCTGCAAGAGGCATGAGGACTGCAGATGTGAACAGAGCAATAAACTGCAATGTCCATAATGTACAGTAAGACAGTGCAACAGGGAGACAGGAAGGACAGCTGATCGCCCTTGCAGTGCCACACCATGTGAAACCAAATGTCTCCTCCAGACGTGTTTGAGAACTTGCAAGTGGTGAAAGAGGGAAGTAACATCTCACAGCAAGAACTGGAAATTCTGCTGCGGTCCATGCTGACGAGATGTACTGTAGTTAAAACAGCTGGTGCCACACCAGATACTGACTGCTACCTTTGATATTGACCGGGGGGTATAATTCTCAATAATATTATGTACGAAAAAAAGACTACTCACTGTCCTAATACAGTAATGAAAGCCATCCTGCCTGGAGACAATAGTTTGATTTTTGTTTTAATAAAATCACTAAATGCAACGCACCAAATAGTACCAAGATGTATATTTTCAAAGGTAATTTGTTTTATTTGGCCATCACTAGTAAATATATCACTGGTGTGTGAATAAATCAAAAGATTTGGGCTGCTATTTTGCTTATGACCCATGGCTGCATTTATTTGATTAAAAATACATGAAAAACAATAACATTTTGAAATTATTTAAATTTTTTTAAAATTAATTAAAAACTGAAGTGTCACATGATCCTTCAGAAATCATTCTTATATCCTGATTTGGTGCTCAAGTAATATTTCTTATTATATATGCGGACTTGTGGTTGAATCACAATGGTCTTTGTTTTGGCCCACTCACAGCAGCTGACACCAGCTCAGATCACAATCAAAACCCAAAGTCAGCACCACTCCACACTTACAGACTTCATCAGATCTGCTGGAGCTTATAAGTTTAACCTGGTTATACCTATAACCTGCTTATAATGGTTCAACCAGTCTGCTTTGCCTAAAAACCATCTACCTGCACAAATTAAGTCTTCATTGGCCAATAACTTCTGATTCGTTATAGTTAATAGCAACAAAATGGCATAACCATATGTACATAACTGTTCTGGACTCATAAAACAAATGGAACAGATGTGGTGTGTATTTTCAGTGCAAGAAGCGCCAATACTACTGAAAAAAGCTTTTTATCAAATCTGCATTTGTTGTGTTAGCTAGGATGGGACAAAGGCTTATTGTGTAAGGCATTGTGTTGAACACACAGGCAGTGTATAAAGTGTGCCATAGGGCTGTTTGCCCACTCACTGCATCAATACTAGACTGAGAGCTTCTGTGCACAAGATGATCTATAGAGCCATATTCAAACACCAGACTCTTTAAAGTCAGCATGAAATGGAAGTTCCCCTGTTGTGACTTAAATCCTATTGAAAGGGCTTCTCGAATAAGAAAATTTAGGACGGGACTTGATTTTTTTCCATCGGGAATTGATTGGATCGTTGTTGTTTGCTATTGGTCTATCTCACGTGAGTGACAGGTTGCCCCACCCTCATGCCATCAAACACTTTATCAGAGAATAGAAGAGATGTTGTTGCATGAGGGAAGGGAAGTTATTTTGATTAAAGTTTACAAGGGCACATGATTTTTTTTTTAAATAATGATCTGCACGGATAAATCATTGATAGTAAATACTGCGATATTCGATTAAAAAAAAGAATCGTCAATTTTGATTTCATGTGACTTTAAGGGCTTTTGGCATGGGTCACAAGTACAGTAAAATGGGTGTCAGTGATCGTGGTTTATTGTATAAAAAAACTGCTCGGTTATGTTTTTAGTAAGGGTTAGGGGTTAGTTCTACTGATCTATATTATGACTGGATAACTCATGACGTTCTAAACTGCCAGCAGGCAGTGAAGCCACCGGAAGTGTTCGAGCGGCCATCTTACTATTCCCTACCAGCAGAGGGCTCCAACGGCCGCTATACAGAGATTGGTAGCTCCGACGGCACTTTTAAGATGACCCGCTGTGCCCCATACAAGTATGGCAACGTTCACAAAAGGATGTAGAAAAACTGCCCACAGGTTGTAATTCAAGCCCCATAAGTAGTAATTTATATGCACAATTGTCGCTATTCCCGTGTTGTTTTCTCTGAGGCAAGAGTAATGCTTCTTCCAAAAAAGAAAAAACCTGATAAAACAGTCAACAGTAGCCTATAGGAGGTGTTAGTGAGGCCAGCAGGGGGCGCTCACCCTGTGGTCTGTGTGGGTCCTAACGCCCCAGTGTAGTGACGGGGACACTATACTGTCAAAGAGCACCGTCCTTCGGATGAGATGTTAAACCGAGGTCCTGACTCTCTGTGGTCATTAAAAATCCCAAAAAAAGAGTAGGGGTGTAACCCCGGCATCCTGGCCAAATTTGCCCTGTGGCCTCTGTCCATCATGGCCTCCTAATCATCCCCATACTGATTGGCTTCATCACTGTCTCTTCTCCACCAGTAAGCTGGTGTGTGGTGGGCGTTCTGGCGCAATATGGCTGCCGTCGCATCATCCAGGTGGATGCTGCACATTGGTGGTGGTTGAGGAGATTCCCCCTTCCATGTAAAGCACTTTGAGTGCTCAGAAAAGCGCTATATAAATGTAATGAATTTATAAGAAACCTCAAGCAGCAATAATAATAATAATAATAATAATAATTAATAATAGTCCGTATACCGTTACTTCCATTAACCTAAACAATTTGTATTATGCATTTCCTGAACATGTACTTGCTAACTAATCAAACACTTTATTTGAACAAACTACTGATCTATAAAACACAATCAGAAAGAGCTATATTTTAAGTACACATACCGGTATACAAGGAATTTTTCTTCAGTGACAAATCATTGCTTCTTTCATTGTTTTATTTGACTGTTAAAATTGCTTATCTGCCATTTGAAGTTTAACGACTCTAATCAAGTGATTAAGATAGCTCTTCAGTGAAGGCCGACTAGTGTACTTCTCGTACAGCTTTGTATTCCTTTTGCAAAGAAATTGCCGTTTTAGTTAACGTTTTGGGGTTTCAACTAGCTATACCACTGATCTTAAGCTACACGGAAGTCCCATAAGTGAATAACGAACACTGGACACTTACAAATTAAATATTATATTTTAAATGTGTATTTTAACGAGGAGGTAAGCTGCTGCTCCTTCATTCAAAGGGCAAATCACAAAATAAAACACTTCATTACTGCCACCTACTGTTAGCCTAGACAGACTCTCCCCAGTATCAAAGCAATTTTTAATAAGCAGGAAAAATTTCCGACTTTAAACAAATACCCATTTAAATGCGTAGGATGTCTGCGTTGTAAGAACGTACAGGGAGACTTTAGATTTAAAAACGGTGTCTCGTTAGGCAATGTTTTCTAAGTCAAATCATCAAATGTCCTATTGATTCAATAGAACACGTGAGCTCACTAGGGAATACCAATACGGCGGCGCGGTGGCTTCACTGTTTATGACGTCATGCGCAATCCAGTCATTATATAGATCAGTGGTTAGTTCACCCAAAAATGAAAATTCTGTCAGTAATTACTCACCCTCATGTTGTTCCAACCCCGTAAGACTTTCGTTCATCTTCGGAACACAAATTAAGATATTTTTGATTAAATCTGAGAGCTGGATCACTCCTCCATAGGAGTGTAACACGCTTCTATGTAATTGAAACTTTGCTGGCCCAAAAGTTAGTAAAAACATCGTTAAAATAGTCCAAGTGACTACAGAGGCTCAACCCTAAAGGACAAGTTCGGTATTTTACACTTAAAGCCCTGTTTTAAGATCGTTTCTGATGAAATAGAACGGTTAAGATTGAAATTTGGACAAAAGATGCTTTCCATCTAAAAACTATGATAAAACCTGTTGGAAAGCATCTTTTGCAGCGATTTTTGTGTGAGGATATCAGTGAACACCCCAGACCACTCGGTGAGTTTAACGTCTTTGTAAACTAAAGTTTAATGCGTTTTATGAAGGATTGTTCCAGTGCACCTATGCAACCATTGTGAAGGTGCGAAATTTTCGGGCCAGCAGCATGTGTCCAAATTTCAATCTTAACCGTTCTATTTTACATTTACATTTACATTTATTCATTTAGCTGACGCTTTTATCCAAAGCGACTTACAATTGCTATGTATGTCAGAGGTCACACGCCTCTGGAGCAACTAGGGGTTAAGTGTCTTGCTCAGGGACACATTGGTGTCTCACAGTGGATTCGAACCCGGGTCTCTCACACCATAGGCATGTGTCTTATCCACTGCGCCATCACCACCCCATATTTCCCCCATATTTCCACCCCATATTTACCCCATATTTCATCAGAAACTATCTTAAAACAGGGCTTTAAAGGGATAGTTCACTTTGAAATTAATTTTTGGTATGTTTTAGCTTACCTCAAGGGCATCCAAGATGTAGGTGTCTTTTTTTCCGCAGTAGTTTCAATTTTGATATTTTTAGGTCGAACCGTTCTTGTCTGTCAGTCATATAATGCAGGTCTATGGTCACCACCTCAAAGAGCATGCACAGAGAAGTCCAAATTAAACTGAGGGCGCGGGCGCTTCGGTCTGCGCAAGCGCCGGAAGTGATCTCTCGCACGGTTGTGAAAAAAATTAAACGTTGTCTGTTGATATATCAAAATCGTCTTCCATTGCGCTTTCCTGTATATCTAAATATGTTTAAATCTTCACAGTGAAAGGTAACACTTCCGAAATCTCTGTGTAAACAATGAGTGACATACACGCGCGAGAGATCACTTCCGGCGCTTTCCGGCGCTTGCGCAGACCGAAGCGCCCGCGCCCTCAGATCACTTGGACGTGGCTGTGGTTACAAGAGGTAAAAACTAGTGCTGTCAAACGATTAAAATATTTAATCGCATTAATGTCATAGTTAACTCGCGATTAATCACAATTAATCGCACATTTTTATCTATTCTAAATGTCTCTTGATTTCTTTTTGTTTCCATTATTTTTTCTCATTTTAATGCTCTTATCAACATGGAAAAGTGGATCGGCTTGCTTTGTGCAAATGTTTTTTTTATTGAAAACAAAATTGACAATACTGTGTTCAATTTCACACTAACATTCTCACTTGGAGCAAATAATCTCTCACACAATGTAACACTGTCCATCAATAAAAGGGTGAAAGAAATACTGACAGGTCCTGATATTGACGAGGGGGCGGAGAATTCGCATCAGCTGTGTGTGTGTGTGTGTGTGTGTGTGCTTGGCCATCAAGTGGTGTTTCAAAAGAATTAAATTCCTCTTCTTTATTTTAATTATACATGTATACCTCCTTTTCATTTTTTTTTTTTCTTTCTTTCTTTTTCTTGTTTCTAATATGTGATTCGAATGTTCTTTAATTTCATTGATTGCTGTTCATATCTTATGATGATTTGTAATAATTTAGAACAGTATATGTGAAACATTTATATCTACTGTAATATGTCATATAATTAAAAAAATAATTAAAAAAAAGTGGTGTTTCAGACTGGACGTGCTGCGATGATGATAGCTCAGTTCACAACGACAAAACACACAGATCACTTTGGTCTTGTCAATCGAACCATTTGGCAACTTTTTAAAAGTAAACTTTCAATTCAGAATCTTATTGACATCCATTTCGGCGTCTCGCGCTCGTCATCCACTCAAAACATAACGTTAACCAACTATTTGGCCGGCTCGCAAGCCCAAACGAGTGTGTGCGGCGTGCCTGTTGTTTTGTTTCCGGTCTAGCTAGATCCGCTTGCGCTTTGGTCGACGAAGCAACAAAGCGTCCTCGCGCAAAGCTATTGAAATGAATGGCTTTCATAGCGCCGCGCCGCGCATGCCGCGTCCTGTTGCAAAAAGCATGTGAAAAAAAAAGACAAAGTTTGCTAGGCCAAAAAGACCGTTAATTGCGCGATAAAAAAATTAACGCCGTTAAAATGGGTTTGCGTTAACGCCGTTAATAACGCGTTTAACTGACAGCCCTAGTAAAAACGATATAAATACTGTTCGTTTTCTCACACAAACCGCTCGTTTCGTGTCTTAGGCCATCAATGTGAACTTACATTTATGAGTCATTAAATCATGTTTAATTTGGACTTCTCTGTGCATTTTCTTTGAGGTGGTGACCATAGACCTGCATTATATGACTGACAGACAAGAACGGTTTGACCTAACAATATCCAAATTGAAACTACTGCGGAAACAAAGACACCTACATCTTGGATGCCCTTGAGGTAAGCTAAAACATACCAAAAATTAATTTCAAAGTGAACTATCCCTTTAAGTGTAAAATACCGAAAAACAGTGAAAAACTTGTCCATTAAGTTTATCAAGCGACGAGAATACTTTTTGTGCGCAAAAACAAACAAAAATAAATAATGCTTCTGGGCTGTAAGTCAGAACATAGGCTCACTATTGGCCAGCATCACAAGCATCACACACATGACCAGCGACGGCCAATAGTGAGCCTACGTTCTGACGTACAGCCCAGAAGTTTAAATTACATAGAAGCCTATGGAGGAGTGAGACAGCTCTCAGATATAAAAATATCTTAATTTGTGTTCCGAAGATGAACGAAAGTCTTATGGGGTTGGAACAACATGAGGGCGAGTAGTTTTTGGGTAAACTAACCCTTTAATAAAGAACGTTATACTTAACAGAACAATGTCAAGAGCACCAAAATAGATATTTGGCACTACTGTCAAATATACCTGGATATAAGCGAGACGTCATCCTGCCCTTTTCCCATTGTGATGTGTGCCTCTGAAAACACTTCCCTCCAGAACGGTTGAGCTACTAAAAGGTCCCAGCTTAACCTACAGATGACAGTAATTTAGGAAATTCACAGATGAGCACTGAAGCTACAATGTTAATGTAATGTGACAGGTTCAATGGTGTGGAAAGAGTGAATGCTTTTATTCCTGGTCATATTACTCATGGTACCTAAACAAATGTCCAAGACTATGAATTGCATTATTTATTTGAAATTAAAGAACTGAAAGAACGATTCGGTGTCTATCAATGTATCCATCTCATATGCATAAGCATTTAGTAATGTGATTAATAATAAAACATAGAGAAGAGATTGAGTAAAATAAATACTGTACCTTTTCACTGGGTCTTTCTGAAGTAAACCCATGACTAGCCTCTCAAACTCTACACTGGGCTGTGAGAAAGCAGGTTCTTAAAAAGAAAATAGATGTCATTACATGTGTCATAAAATGAACACTTAAAAAAAAAACAATATAAAAGTACAATATATTAAAGGTGAGGTGTCAAACCTTTTTGTCTTAGGGGTGGAGGATCTTCATTTAAAATTAGATCAACTAGACCGGTCATACTCTCAGAGACAAAGGAAGGTTTTCCTAGGAAACAAAGAGAAAATGAGACAGAACACTTTACTTGAAGCCTTTGTGTATAATGTATTATAGTTGTTCAAAATGTACATTGTAATGCATTATATATTTTCAGAATTACTTGTAACCAAAGTTAAAATGCATTATAATATTAGCAGATTCCTTGTTACTTCTGAAACGTGTTGTTTGTCATGTGTAACAATGAATAGATCTGTAATTTAAAGCATTAGAACTGATTTATTTGTGCTGTTGTTTAAAATGTGTTTATTGTTCTTATTTTATTACTGTCTTTAACTTGTTTTTTTATAAAAAAAATTGCATTGAATAAAAGTAGATTTTTGTTGGTCTATTGCTGTCAACTATAGTTCTTTGAAAGAAAATCGGAATTGGCAAAAATCGGTATCGGCCGGACACAATTCGGAAATCAGAATCGGCCAAGAAAATTGCAATCAGTGCATCTCTACATTACATTTATTCATGATATCATACAATGATACAAAATTGTAAGGTGCATTACATAGGCCTAATAGATATAATCAATGTATTGAAAATACCTTTGTAATGCATTATACTGTATATAAAGGCTTTAAGTAAAGTGTTACTAAACTACATAGCAAAATAATGTCTAGGCAAATTCATAGACTAAGATGAAATGGTAAAATGTGTAACCTGTGAACATTTCATAAAGGATGCAGCCTAACGCCCACAGGTCACTGCAGACACTGGAGTCTGCTCCTCTCAACACCTCTGGAGCGCAATACACAGGAGAGCCTGCCAGAGCAACATCTTATAATAAATCATACAAGTGAACAGTGAAGATAAGACAGACAAGTACTGTATAGTATATGAACAGTGGAAGTTGCTGTGAAAGGAGTCCTGCTGCTGACCTTTAATTCTGTTCTTGATGTTTTGTGGAGAGATACAGTCTCCAGCTCCTGTCTCCTCTGCCATCACAAGAGAGAAAAACTCCTCCAGACTTTCTCCTTCAGCTTTGGCCAGGCAGAAATTGGAGTACTTTAGAGTTCCTGGTCCATCCAACAAAATCTACATGAATGCATGGTGACATATTAGCTTTGGTTTGAAAAAGAAAAGTTTAGTGTTTGTTTAAATGAATAGTTATTTTATATTTTTTATTTAGCACCTTTTAACTTCAATATTGCTTGCAGGAAAAACAAACTTAAGAAAACAAAACAAAACTTAAAAACAAACATTTTGATAAGGAAAACATCATGATCACATGAGGTGCATACTAAAGGGTATAAAGAAATCATATAAAACAGCAGAAAAGCTTGGTATCATAAAGAGTGTGGTTTTAATGGGTAGAAAACTTTATTAAATCCGGCATGAAACAGATATCGCTATTGTGGCGTGAATTTGAGTGAAGAGTCTTCTCGAACGCGAAAAAAAAAGTAGGGCGGGAGTCACGGGACTTGATTTTGTCCATCTGGATTTGATTGAATCGTTGTTGTTTGTTATGTGCTGTGATCTCATGTGAGTGACAGGTTGGAGGGGAGCGATTATTGTCCTGCACACGTCATTTGAGAAGAGATGTTGCGAGCGGGAGAGGGAACGTGAATTAATTTTTTTAGAAAGTGCTTAGCGTTAAAGGGATAGTTCACCCCAAAATGAAAATTGCATTAATTTAATGAAAAATTACTCACCCTCATGTCGTTCCAGACGGTCGTTCATTTTCAGAACACAAATGAAGATTTGTTTAATTAAATCTGAGATCTTTCTTTCCCTCCATAATTGACAGCTACGCAACTGACACTTTGATGCTTCAAAAAGTTCATAAAGAGATCATAAAACTAATCCATCTGAATTGAGCGGTTTAGTCCAAATTGAAGAAGCACAATCGCTTTATACTGATGAACAGATTGAATTTAGTCTTTTATCCACATATAAACATTCATCAACTCACACATCAGTTGTGGTAAACGACGGAAGCTCAAGCATGGTTCACTTCATGTGCAAGAACCAATGAGGTTAATTCTCGTGTTACGCAGCACTTTGAGCTTCAGCAAGAACCAATGAGGTTCATTCTCGTGTTACGCAGCACGTTTGAGCTTCAGCAAGAACCAATGAGGTTCATTCTCATGTTACGCAGCACGTTTGAGCTTCAGCAAGAACCAATGAGGTTCATTCTCATGTTACGCAGCACGTTTGAGCTTCAGCAAGAACCAATGAGGTTCATTCTCATGTTACGCAGCACGTTTGAGCTTCAGCAAGAACCAATGAGGTTCATTCTCATGTTAAGCAGCACGTTTGAGCTTCAGCAAGAACCAATGAGGTTCATTCTCGTGTTACGCAGCACATTTGAGCTTCAGCAAGAACCAATGAGGTTCATTCTCGTGTTACGCAGCACGTTTGAGCTTCAGCAAGAACCAATGAGGTTCATTCTCATGTTACGCAGCACGTTTGAGCTTCAGCAAGAACCAATGAGGTTCATTCTCATGTTACGCAGCACGTTTGAGCTTCTGCAAGAACCAATGAGGTTCATTCTCATGTTACGCAGCACGTTTGAGCTTCAGCAAGAACCAATGAGGTTCATTCTCGTGTTACGCAGCACGTTTGAGCTTCAGCAAGAACCAATGAGGTTCATTCTCATGTTACGCAGCACGTTTGAGCTTCAGCAAGAACCAATGAGGTTCATTCTCATGTTACGCAGCACGTTTGAGCTTCTGCAAGAACCAATGAGGTTCATTCTCATGTTACGCAGCACGTTTGAGCTTCAGCAAGAACCAATGATGTTCATTCTCGTGTTACGCAGCACGTTTGAGCGTCAGCAAGAACCAATGAGGTTCATTCTCGTGTTACGCAGCACATTTGAGCTTCAGCAAGAACCAATGAGGTTCATTCTCGTGTTACGCAGCACGTTTGAGCTTCAGCAAGAACCAATGAGGTTCATTCTCGTGTTACGCAGCACGTTTGAGCGTCAGCAAGAACCAATGAGGTTCATTCTCGTGTTACGCAGCACATTTGAGCTTCAGCAAGAACCAATTAGGTTCATTCTCGTGTTACGCATCACGTTTGAGCTTCAGCAAGAACCAATGAGGTTCATTCTCATGTTACGCAGCACGTTTGAGCTTCAGCAAGAACCAATGAGGTTCATTCTCGTGTTACGCAGCACGTTTGAGCTTCAGCAAGAACCAATGAGGTTCATTCTCATGTTACGCAGCACGTTTGAGCTTCTGCAAGAACCAATGAGGTTCATTCTCATGTTACGCAGCACGTTTGAGCTTCAGCAAGAACCAATGAGGTTCATTCTCGTGTTACGCAGCACATTTGAGCTTCAGCAAGAACCAATGAGGTTCATTCTCGTGTTACGCAGCACGTTTGAGCGTCAGCAAGAACCAATGAGGTTCATTCTCGTGTTACGCAGCACATTTGAGCTTCAGCAAGAACCAATGAGGTTCATTCTCGTGTTACGCAGCACGTTTGAGCTTCAGCAAGAACCAATGAGGTTCATTCTCATGTTACGCAGCACGTTTGAGCTTCTGCAAGAACCAATGAGGTTCATTCTCATGTTACGCAGCACGTTTGAGCTTCAGCAAGAACCAATGAGGTTCATTCTCGTGTTACGCAGCACATTTGAGCTTCAGCAAGAACCAATGATGTTCATTCTCGTGTTACGCAGCACGTTTGAGCGTCAGCAAGAACCAATGAGGTTCATTCTCGTGTTACGCAGCACATTTGAGCTTCAGCAAGAACCAATGAGGTTCATTCTCGTGTTACGCATCACGTTTGAGCTTCAGCAAGAACCAATGAGGTTCATTCTCGTGTTACGCAGCACGTTTGAGCTTCAGCAAGAACCAATGAGGTTCATTCTCATGTTACGCAGCACGTTTGAGCTTCTGCAAGAACCAATGAGGTTCATTCTCGTGTTACGCATCACGTTTGAGCTTCTGCAAGAACCAATGAGGTTCATTCTCATGTTAAGCAGCACGTTTGAGCTTCAGCAAGAACCAATGAGGTTCATTCTCGTGTTACGCAGCACATTTGAGCTTCAGCAAGAACCAATGAGGTTCATTCTCGTGTTACGCAGCACGTTTGAGCTTCAGTAAGAATCAATGAGGTTCATTCTCGTGTTACGCAGCACATTTGAGCTTCAGCAAGAACCAATGAGGTTCATTCTCATGTTACGCAGCACTTTGAGCTTCAGCAAGAACCAATGAGGTTCATTCTCGTGTTACGCAGCACGTTTGAGCTTCAGCAAGAACCAATGAGGTTCATTCTCGTGTTACGCAGCACGTTTGAGCTTCAGCAAGAACCAATGAGGTTCATTCTCATGTTACGCAGCACGTTTGAGCTTCTGCAAGAACCAATGAGGTTCATTCTCATGTTACGCAGCACGTTTGAGCTTCAGCAAGAACCAATGAGGTTCATTCTCGTGTTACGCATCACGTTTGAGCTTCTGCAAGAACCAATGAGGTTCATTCTCATGTTAAGCAGCACGTTTGAGCTTCAGCAAGAACCAATGAGGTTCATTCTCGTGTTACGCAGCACATTTGAGCTTCAGCAAGAACCAATGAGGTTTATTCTCGTGTTACGCAGCACGTTTGAGCTTCAGTAAGAACCAATGAGGTTCATTCTCGTGTTACGCAGCACATTTGAGCTTCCGCAAGAACCAATGAGGTTCATTCTCATGTTACGCAGCACTTTGAGCTTCAGCAAGAACCAATGAGGTTCATTCTCGTGTTACGCAGCACGTTTGAGCTTCAGCAAGAACCAATGAGGTTCATTCTCGTGTTACGCAGCACGTTTGAGCTTCAGCAAGAACCAATGAGGTTCATTCTCATGTTAAGCAGCACGTTTGAGCTTCAGCAAGAACCAATGAGGTTAATTCTCGTGTTACGCAGCACATTTGAGCTTCTGCAAGAACCAATGAGGTTCATTCTCATGTTAAGCAGCACGTTTGAGCTTCAGCAAGAACCAATGAGGTTCATTCTCGTGTTACGCAGCACATTTGAGCTTCAGCAAGAACCAATGAGGTTCATTCTCGTGTTACGCAGCACATTTGAGCTTCAGCAAGAACCAATGAGGTTCATTCTCGTGTTACGCAGCACATTTGAGCTTCAGCAAGAACCAATGAGGTTCATTCTCGTGTTACGCAGCACGTTTGAGCTTCAGCAAGAACCAATGAGGTTCATTCTCGTGTTACGCAGCACATTTGAGCTTCCGCAAGAACCAATGAGGTTCATTCTCGTGTTACGCAGCACGTTTGAGCTTCAGCAAGAACCAATGAGGTTCATTCTCGTGTTACGCAGCACGTTTGAGCTTCAGCAAGAACCAATGAGGTTCATTCTCATGTTACGCAGCACGTTTGAGCTTCTGCAAGAACCAATGAGGTTCATTCTCATGTTACGCAGCACGTTTGAGCTTCTGCAAGAACCAATGAGGTTCATTCTCATGTTACGCAGCACGTTTGAGCTTCTGCAAGAACCAATGAGGTTCATTCTCGTGTTACGCAGCACGTTTGAGCTTCTGCAAGAACCAATGAGGTTCATTCTCATGTTACGCAGCACTTTGAGCTTCAGCAAGAACCAATGAGGTTCATTCTCATGTTACGCAGCACTTTTGAGCTTCTGCAAGAACCAATGAGGTTCATTCTCATGTTACGCAGCACTTTGAGCTTCAGCAAGAACCAATGAGGTTCATTCTCATGTTACGCAGCACGTTTGAGCTTCTGCAAGAACCAATGAGGTTCATTCTCGTGTTACGCAGCACGTTTGAGCTTCTGCGAGAACCAATGAGGTTCATTCTCATGTTACGCAGCACTTTGAGCTTCAGCAAGAACCAATGAGGTTCATTCTCGTGTTATGCAGCGCGTTTGAGCTTCAGCAAGCGGTTTGTTCTCACGCGTCAAGCAGGTTCGGTTGATCTTCTGTTTATGTTCTCTGATCAATGTTTAAATGTGAATAAAAGCCTAAATTCAGTGTGTTCATCATATAAAGTGACCAAGGATCTTCAGAAAATTTGGACTAAACCGCTCAATTCATATGGATTAGTTTTATGATCTTTTATGAAGCATCAAAGTTGTAGTTGCATAGATGTCTATGGAGGGACAGAAAGCTCTCAGATTTCATCAAAAAGATCTTAATTTGTGTTCCGAAGATGAACGAAAGTCTTACAGGTTTGGGACTAAATGAGGGTGAGTAATAAATTACATAATTTTCATTTTTGGGTGAACTATCCCTTTAAGGTTTCACCACCACCAGTAAAAACCTAGAAGCAGCCCACTGTAAAACTCTGTTTAGGTCAAGGTCAAGGTCAAGGTCACTTTTATTTATATAGCACCTTAAAACAGCATTTCTGCTGACCAAGGTGCTTCACAAAAACACAAAATAAAAACACAATAAAAACAAACATCGTACAAATTTCATAGTATAAAATTTTAACTCACTAAGGCTACATATCCACAGTTATGAGTACGCCAGAGAAAAAAAGATGTGTTTTCAAAGCTGACTTGAAAGCATATAAAGAGGAAGCTAACCTAACAGATTGAGGTAACAAATTCCACAGCCTCGGACCCAAAACGGAAAAAGCTCAATCACCTTTCGACTTTAAGCGAGAGCGAGGGATAGTTAATAATTTTTCAGAAGATGATCTAAGAGTTCTTAGTGGAGAGTATGGACAAATGAGGTCTGTGATATAAACTGGAGCAAGACCATGCAAGGCTTTAAATACAAAAGTCAAAACCTTGTACTCAATTCTGAACTTGACCGGTAACCAATGCAAATGTAATAAAATAGGGGTGATATGCTCACGTTTTTTCTTACCCATTAAAAAACGAGCTGCAGCATTTTGTACCAGTTGCAAGCGCATTAATGAAAAATGGTTGATACCGGCATACAAAGCGTTACAATAATCTAGCCTTGTTGAAATGAAAGCATGAATGACTGTCTCTAGGTCACCAAAAGATAAAATAGATTTAAATTTTCCTAAGCTCCTGAGCTGAAAAAAACTGCTTCTGACAACAGAGTTTATTTGCTTGTCGAATTTTAACTCTGAGTCGACAATGACACCCAGGTTTTTTACATGAGTGCGGATGTTAGCTTTCAGAGGTCCTAAATCAGAGGTCAGACTATCTACCAAATGGGGGGCGCCAAATAAAATAACTTCAGTCTTGTTTTCATTTAACTGAAGAAAATTTTCACCCATCCAACTTTTAATGTCATTTACGCAGGCTAATAAATCGGATAAGGACTTAGACCCAGATTTTATTGGCATGTACAACTGGGTATCATCCGCATAAATATGATAAGGAATCTGATGAGATTCAAAAATATAACGAAGAGGTAGCATATATAATGAAAATAAAATCAGTCCCAAAATGGAGCCTTGCGGTACTCCCCCGGTGACAGGAACAGGCGATGAATGAAACTGACCGATCTCAACAGAGAAACTCCTCTCAGAGAAGTAGGATTCAAACCACTCTACAGCTGAATCACAAATACCAGCCTCAGTTTTTAACCTATTTAAAAGAATACAGTGATCCACTGTATCAAAAGCTGCACTGAGATCCAACAATACCAGAACTGCACAATTTCCGGAATCCACAAATAACAACAAGTCGTTTACCACTCTTAACAGGGCTGATTCAGTACTGTGCTTGGATCTAAACCCAGACTGAAACGGATCCAGTATATTATTCTCAATTAAGTAAGGGGATAACTGATTTAAAACAGCTTTCTCCAATACTTTCGACAAAAAAGGCAGTTTCGAAATAGGTCTATAGTTATTAAAATCAGATGTGTCCAAATTTTCCTTTTTAAGCAGCGGATGAACTACTGCATGTTTGAAACCAGATGGAACGGAACTCGTCTGAAAGGAACTGTTAATGACAGAAATGAGATTTGGTGCAACTGAGTCCAGGACTTCCTTTAGCAATCTAGTTGGTATAACGTCAAGTGAACAAGTGGTCGATCTTAAACTGGACACTATATTCGTTAGTTCAGAATGTAAGATCGGACGGAAGTGTGAAAATTTAGCTCTACTCAGAGGCAAACGCCAGACCTTCTGGGATGGATTCAGTACAATCTGTGATTTAATGCAAAGGATTTTGTTTATGAAAAAACTGCAAAACTTCTCACACAACTCTGTACTCTGAACAATACCAATCTCAATTGACGAATTTAATACAGAATTTATAGTAGCGAACAAAAACTTTGGACATTGGGAATTTTGAGCAATCAAATTAGAAAAATATTTAGACCTTTGAAAGGCAGCCTCCTCTTGAAATTTGACTAAGGAATTTTGTAATAACTGGTAGGAGATTTGTAATTTATCCTTCCTCCATTTTCTTTCTGCTCTTCTACACTCTTTTCTCAAAGTACGAACTTTGTTTATCCAAGGCTGTTTTTTTGGTTTTAGTGTCCTGACTTTACAGGGGGCGATTTCATTTAAAATCCCAGTACATGATGTATTAAAACTAACGACCAAGTCATCAACATCAGAATACTGTGTAGTGACACCTACTGGGAGTTCTTTAAAAGCCTCGATAAACAGTGCGGCAGTAGAGGAGTTGATAACTCTAGACAGGTAAGTGGAGGAGCTGTTTTCAGGTTTTAAAGCAGGGATAGAACAATCAAATATTATTGGCAGGGTGATCAGACAGCCCAGCATCACGAATGTCAATGTTTACTATAGGAAAACCTGTAGTCATAACAAGGTCAAGAGTGTGGCCCTGCATATGTGTAGAGTCAGAAATATATTGTATTAAATTAAAAGAGTCTAAAAGTTGAGTGAACTCTCTTACAAGTGGCTTTTGTGGGCAACAAACATGTATATTGAAATCGCCTAAAAGCAAAACATCATCAGCTTTTAGGGTGTAATATGACACTTCACATACACTAGCTCAGAATGGACATACATTACAATGGCTTAACAGGTGTGTGATGCTTATACCTTCGCAGGTGTGAGATCCGAGACAACAATGCCAGAGTCGTGGATGTATTTAAGACCTTTTATCAGGTCAATGGAAAACTCTCGCACTACATCCTCAGACAAGCACTCATCTTGAGCGATCAGTGCTGCCAGGGATCCACCTAGAAGAAGAAAAAAAACATACAAATTGATCAAAACAGAACCATTAGATTGCAATACCTCGAAAAGCGAGAAACAGTATTAGAGAAGACTTAGTACACTGGTAAAACTTATGTAAAAGTTTAGGGATCTCACCTGTGCACATCTCCACCACCAGCCACAGATGGTTGCTGGTCTCATACCATTCATAGAAAGATACCACATTTTCATGCTTAATGTCATGGGCAAGTCTCACCTGTGGAGATGATGTTACATTTATCAAACACAGAATGTGCAAACTCATTGTTTAAAACAAATAGCTGAAGAAATATTACGTTTGCATACATGGTTTGTTAATTCAGGTCTCTTGGATTTGTCACTGCAGATGATGGCCACGAAATGTATGCTGCCTTTCCTTCTGCCCTTATAAACAACTGATCTGCTACCTCTCCCAATCTCTTCATACAAAATAAAGTTCTCCATCTACGCAGCGATAAAAAGCATGAACATTAAAGCCAAAACAACCATCAAACCAGCCAGTGTTTAGATGCATATTAATCATATAAACACACCTGCAGAGACTCACGTGAGATTGCGAGCTCGAGCTCACTGGCAGTTCACAGTACTAACTACAAACACAACTTCCTGACCAAACAGGCACTACAGAAATTCAATAATACACACACGGACCGATTAACACCATATTTAAAATATGTCCCGGTTCTTTTTGTAATATTTTGACAATATATTGGGGTCAAATACGGGTGTAGCTTTCTTTTGTACAAGTTTGTTCTTACGCGCGGTCGGCAACTGACAAACGGACCCAAAATTAGAAGCGAAACTAACTCGCCCGAGGTGGAGTCATCTCACTCACAAGACCAAAGCGTTAAAAATAGCAATTTAAATTATAATTATATTATATAATTGCATTTTTAAAAGCATAAACATTTAAAAGGTATGTAAAAAATAAATAACTGCATGCCTTTTTACTATCTGTTTTCAACTTTCTAATATTCCTACACCCCTACTACTGGAAGATCCCTCGTTGCTAAGATACAGAAGAGGACGCACTGTTGCGTTTAGGAAACCGGTTCCACTGAGCATGCGCATCCACAGCACCAGTCATTGGTTGAATACACCAGAATCCGGTTACATTTCACCTTCTTCTTCTTCTCTATTTTTCATTCATTCATGTACAGCAGTCTATTCCTAACTGTTCATTAATGTCTTACTGAAAGTTTGATTTTATTTCTTTGCATTTTATTTTATGTTATATATTGTTGTTAGTATTAAGTAACATTACTGACACTTTTATCTGTCTCTTTGTGTGTATGCAAAACAATCAAAGCAGACTACTTTTACACTGAAATGTAACGTGCACTGTTTGATTATAAAGAGAAGGAATAAAAACAGTCAAACATGCAGTCTTTAACATGTAGTTGTGAAAGAGTTGCAAAAGCTCGGAGGATGGGGAGTGGCGTCACGCTCTCAGAGAGGGAGAGAGGGAGAGAGAGAGAGAGAGAGAGAGAGAGAGAGAGAGAGAGAGAGAGAGAGAGAGAGAGAGAGAGAGAGAGAGAGAGAGATCAGTGTTGCATGTCTGGGGCGGAGAGCGTGTAGCAGCGTGTGATACCGGCTTTTCGGATGAGATTCTGGGCATCATAACGTCCTTATTATTGGGAAGAGCACATCTTCGTTATTTGTTCTTCTTTCGGCCAGAGAGCTTCGTTGAGGGGAATTACAGATGCTCAGATCTCATAAAGGACAGAAAAACCAAACTGAACAGGATTGCTGTGCTACTTTTCATACAGCCGAGCAGGTCCATTGAAAGGGAGCCGGGGATCACTTTGTTTTCGGGTAATTACGAAATAAAGTCCACTACGTCGTAAAAAGTGTGCCGATTAAATAGCATACGGAGTTATTTGGTTTGACAACTAGCTGGTTCTAAAAAAAACACACACACAAAAAAAAAACCAGGATTGTCTTCAACGACTTTTCAAGTAAACCTGCATCTGATCTGGACTATTTTGTATTATTTTAGCCTAAAGGACAGCCTTCATCGAATGGTAAGATGATACACACACACTACATCATCACCTTTTTGATCGTTTAAATATGTTTAGCCATTGTGTGTACGCTGTCTATTATCCTACACCTGACTGTGTCCCAAAATCTAGTGAGCTGCCTAGCTAGACAGCTGACTGGAACGCGCATAATGTTGCCAAAAGTGCTGCACGCGTTGATCATTTAAGTTTTGAGACTCTTCCATAGACGCTGGTTTTACTGGTCCACGACCAGGCTGGTCTGTTGGCTCGTTTTATACTGATTTTTAGGGCACCTTCACCCTGGCCAGACTGGGAGACCAGCTGAAGACCATCTTAACCAGGAGACCAGAAAACCACTGTAGGCTCAGTGGAGAAACATCTATCCTATGACTTAATGTCCAGCAAACTTCAGCAAGCAACTTTTAATAAGCTCTCACTACAAGCACAGCAGATTATGGAATCTGATTACAGCAATCTCATTTCTTTAATATAGGCCTACTCTTGAGATTGTATTTTATTCGTGTTAGAGCAGCTCAAACTGTGTTCATACTTGACCTTTCAAGTACACTGAAAAAAAAATATATGATCAATAATTTGACAACATTTTACATTGCTTTAACTCATCAAAATAAATTAAGCAATTTTTAAAAAAAATTTTTACAAGATTCAACTCAGTTTTTAAGTCAGTTTAATGTAATTTGAGTTGAAATGACTTAAACATCCAAGTTGATTGTACTTAAAAAATATAAGGCAGCAACTTTCTTTACAGCATAAAAGACTGACAAGCAGCAATGTTTAGTTGACTATAAGTAATATTTGTCTATTTTTTTTTTTGTTCTGAGCGCAAATTTTCTGGTTCTTGAGAGTATATTAAGTTAACCTCATCAGGTGGAAAAAGTGAGAGTGATACACTTTACAAGCAGATGGTATAAAGTTCATCTGACCCCCTGGTCCCACTATTTTAGTGACGATGATAACACAAGTCATGTGCCCATCAGGACAGGGTTACTGGCAAAAATAAACATGATGAAACGTAAGAGGTGAAACTCTGCTTTCGTTATCCCCAAGAGTCCCCACCATAAATATGAATATTTTCAAATGTAATGTTTTTCTCTCTACAGTAACATGCTTAAGTTTATTTGCAAGTGAGTGATCCAAAATCATCTGACGACGTCATCTTGTAGGAATTCCATTGATTTATAATGGTAAAAGCTGAATATATGATGAATACTTGACAGAAACATGGTGATTGTATTAGCTGCCATGTTTAATGAAACATCAAGTTACTTTCACAGCTGGCTGTGTCCCAGATTCTGCTGATCAGATTTAACCTAGATCATGACATATTCACAGCAGTGCTCCTGTAAGGGGTCGTAATGTTCAATGGAGGATCGTGTAGAAATGCGAAGTGAAACAGAAAGTGTGTGACTTTTAATCCTATAACGATTTACAAACCTCATGTTGCATAATAGCATCATATGCCCAAATATAAGAATGTCTGTTTCATAGTCATCTGAATCGCAGCAGCTGTGTCATCCCTAGAGACCAAGAAAGCAAACGGAGAGAGAGAGAGAGAGAGAGAGACATGAGAACACTTTTTCCTCAAGGGTTATTTGTTTCTGCATGTGTGGTTTGCTTTCATGAGCACGTGTGCTTGAGTTCATGCTATAACGGCTGAGATGGGTTACGTTGAGTCATATGTCCTCCCTTATAGAGGTCCACAATAACCGTAGTGGTGTATCTGCATGTGCTTGGCTTTTTTCATTACTTACCCTTGGTAATATTAGACTGACAGAGAGAGGTGTCTTTATCTTTTTTGTATTCCTCGTATGGTGGTTTCTTAGCTTTTGTCTTCTCTTATTATGAAGTTTGTTTTCTTCTTCTTTTTTTCTTTTTTTGTATGATGATGGTATTGCTACACTGTAAACCCATACGGTGATTTGACTCATTGAGGGAACTCATTGCCGCAGTTTAATTAATGTAATGGTGTTTAACAAAACGTATTGTATCAAGTTCATCTAATCTTCCCACTGAATTAAGTACAGATAACTTAAAACACAAGTATAACTTAAAGGGATACTCCACTTTTTTGGACATTTTACAACTCTAGGAACTATACTCTCATTCCTGCGTAATAATCAAGAAACTTTACTGCCGTACCGTGAGTGCAGCAGGCGTAATGATATGACGCAGCTGGGGACTATTTTCAGGTGCTGCGTCATATCATTACGCCTGCTGCACTCATGGTACGGCAGTAAAGTTTCTTGATTACTACGCAGGAATGAGAGTATAGTTCCTAGCCATATCAGCCTAGAAAATCGCAAGTTTACATTTTCCGTCGGTCTTAGTGCACGATGTAACTACAGAAGAGTCAAGTTTTAAATAGGAAAAATATCGAAACACTTTGGTCATTTTTTTATGAGAAATGCTAATGGTCTTGTCCACTTCAATGATGTATGCTAAGCTATGCTAAAAGTGGTACCGCGAGAACCGGAGATCGGCTGAATGGATTCAAAAACGGTAAAACTCAACAGTTTAACTCTGGGGGAGTTGTAAAATGAGCCTATTTCCAAAAAAAGTGGAGTATCCCTTTAAGGTTAGTTCACCCAGTAATGAATATTCTGTCATCAATTTCTAACCCTCATATCATTCCACTTTTGTTTATCTTTGGGACACAAGTGAAGATATTTTTAATGAAATCTGAGAGATTTCTGTACTTCTATTAAAAGGATATGTTTACACGACGACAAGGATATACTATAAACAGAAACGTTTTTCCTTTGTGTTTTTCATGTATGGACGATATTGTCAAAATGATCCCCATTCAGATCCATGTATTGTTCTGCCAGGCCAGTTGGCGATGTTGGCGGACACTATGCATAGATGGAACACATAACACTTGTGCACATGACGTCACTATTTTCACAATTTCGCGTTTTTGAAGTATAAAAACGCGATAACAGTATAATTTTCAAAAAACTTGCACTTCGAAACCTGTTTTCAAAAGTTTGCATTTCCAGGCCCCTAAAACTCTGTTGTCGTGTAAATAAACAGCCAAAATGCTTAAAGTTTTACATTTTTAGTTGAAAACTGTTGTGTAAATGACAGTATAATTTTCAGTCTATTCGCCCAAAACTCAAATTAAACGTTCATAAAGCGATTGTAAAAGAAATCCATATTATATTAAGAGACATAATCAATGTATATGATGAACAGATTTAATTTAGGCTTTTATTCACATATAAACTGAGAACTCAGATTCGGTAAATGGAAGCTATAGCACAAACAAAAGTTATGAGTTTGGAGTGACGTGTGGTTGAGTAATTGATGACAAAATGTTCATTTTTGGGGGAACTATCCCTTTACTACTGCTTATCGCTTCACATCAACAGCTTTAAGGTGGATTTATCAGCATATTAACCATATTTTATCAGTAAACAAAATACAATTATACACATTTAAAACATGCAGTTCTAGAGTTCCATAAAGTACCTTTGAGTTATATTTGGGATGCACAAATATTACAATTTTGCTGATTCAGATGAGCCAATAAATAATTATGTTGTGACCAATAACCATTAAAACATTAAATACAAAAAAAAATGAAAAGAAGAGCAAGTGAACTTAGTCATCATGACATTTTGAGGTTTGCTAAAGTTTGCATGTGAGAGTGCTATTACATATATTAGTGATTTTAAAGATAAATGTAACTTTAGATGTTGGTAAAGGTGATCTATATTTATATTGAAGTACAATTAAATATCGAATACTGGC